ATAAGAGATAATTATAATTAAGAAGAGAGTAATTATAATTAAAAAGAGATATAATTAATTAGTAGATAAGTAGTTACTTTATTAATAGATATTAAGTTTCTCTTTATAGAGATTAGAGCTAGGTTTTATATATCTAGCTATATAAATAGCTTCTATTATTAGAGTTTTTAAAATATTAATATCTATATCTAGATTATAAATATATTTTTTAATTTTAACTCTATATAGAAGAAGATCTAGATATAGACTAATAACTATATATAATAAAACCCTATATATAACTAATTATATATTATACCTGATCTTAAGATAATCTTACTTATAGCTAAAAAAAAACTATAAGCCAGAAATACTTACTATATATAGTAAGGGTTATCTTGTTTATACTTATAGTTTTAGTTCTAGTATATTATTCCTGCTACCATAACTATCCTGTTCCATATAAAAGAAAAACAGCATCCCACTAGACCGCTTGGTGAAGTGAACAAATGCCCACGATAATAGAAACAGTACAGAGTTATATCTTGCCAACTACTCCAGGTATGAAAGGAGCTGTTAGGCGCTCTACAAAGCGAGTTCAAAAAACATCTATAGCTGCTCCTGAGGCCTCCTATATATTCTCTCCATGGCACGCCACAATAATTCCGTGGAGATACATCATGGAACTAGATCTGCCAATTCATTCGCTCATTAGATCAACAGTGCCTTGAATCTTTAGGCTGTTTAAGAAGCCATGATAGGGCCTCACGAGCGGGGCTTTGAAAATGAGGCGGATCACATTTTGAGGCAAGTGGCCCTTCTGATCCGTCTGGGCTGCCTCCTACGAGGCCTACCTCAACTCCTGTGTAAATTCTACTGCATGATGATGTGTAGCGTGGATCACGCAGTTGGGCAGATTTGGGACCAGCCTATAAAAACCAGGTGCTCCTCAAAAGATAGGCTTGGCGCTGCACAGCCAGCAAAGATCACACCCGCAAATCATGTTATTATAGGCCACCGTCGACCTGCATCGCCGCACACGGTCATGCACAGCCATGCTGTGCAATGTTTGCAGGCTCTACTCACAGCCTGAGTGACGTAGTTTTTCCATATAGCTATTCCACTGCTAAGTCTTGGAGGCCACATGCGTGGTAGGCATACGAGGCCAGCAAATACCCACGGTGTCTGAATCTCGTCTTACCAGGTGCAATTCACAGTTGTAGAATAACAATATAAATAGGTTAGTCTTAGCAGGAAAGCGATAGCAGCATCAAAGCATCAGTGATCTCTTTAGGTTCACATTCGAGTCATTTATCATGGATTTCCTTCCACGTCCACAAAACTCTCTATATCCTTGTCCCGAGATAACTCTATTGAGCTTGGAGCAGTACGATGGCGAAGATTTCTACACGTACCCGGAACGCCAAGGCTGGGGGCCCCGTACTCCCAAGAAATGGGGTGAATGCTTCGCCGACCCCAACCACAAATTCATCGCAATGGTGGAAAGATGGCTTTTGTTTGGATATCTCTTTACCTTCTTCGGAAAAGACAAAGTCAAGAAAACCAACTTCGTAGACTGGAAGGGCAATCCCCCATATCCAGTTTTGACGATGCGGGAGTTACCCCGACTATTTTTGACGAAGGACCCTGTTAAAAGTGGCTCCAACTTCGGACTGCTCCTGGAGATAGTATTACTGAACGAACGTTTCATTCGAACAAACGAAGGTATCCTAATCGAGGAGGGAGCGAATTCTGAAATTTCTTTGGATCAATTCATCATGGAGTTCAATGTTGAAGATGTGAGGTCATCGTACATCTCACTGTTGACCTCAATTATTTTTGAAATGGGCAACGAGACCTATTATCAACTGGTTCATCAGCGACCATCTCTCAGCCGTCAATTTATAGCGTTCAACATCGCAACTACAAACATGCTCTACACGGAATTTCGGCTGAATGGTTGGTGCCCAGCAGACCTGGTCACTATATTCCAACGCTTCAATACGTCTTGCTTTTATTTCCTTCTAAATATGACCAATCCCCAACCGGCCGCGGATCACTTAGACATATTAGCTGTTGAGGCTACCAGTACTCAAACAGCTCAGACCACGCCTTCAGCACCCAATGGTTCAGCAAGAGAAAGACAAGTCTTAGAACAAGACCAAAACCATCATTCCAGGGACGATAGGCCCCTATGTACTCCGCAAACATGCAAAGCAAGGGTTTTTGACGACGACACATACAAAACTAAGCATGCGACCTTGGACTGCAGCTGTGATTTTGTTAAGGCCGACACATCAAAGCTTTGTGAAATACTGCATAAAGCGTCAATTCCTCTCATCGAGTCAGTAGACCCAGATGATGAGCATGCAGAAATTACCTTCATTGAGGCACAACCAGGAATCAAGTATGTTGCCATTTCACATGTATGGTCCGACGGCTTGGGCAACACCTCGGAGAATGCCATACCAAGATGCCAGCTTCAGAGACTGAGTCGGTATGTACGCCAAATCAGAGATAGGCACGGAGATTACGTGTACTTTTGGTTGGACACCATTTGCATTCCACCAGACAAGATTTGTGGATGCACCTGCACTCCGATCAAGTCATGCGCCCCTCCCTGCAGTGGACATGAACTGGAAGCTGCACAAAACATATCTCTTGGGCTGATGCGAAAGACATACGAAGATGCAGAAGCGGTTCTTGTTCTTGATTCCTGGATCTTGGAAACCACTTGTGAAGGAAAGTCGCATATAGAAACCCTTCTCAAGATCTTTACCTCGTCATGGACCCGGCGGCTGTGGACGTATCAGGAAGGCTTCCTGGCAAAGGTCTTACACTTCCAATTTCTCGATCGAACTCTCGATGTAGATAACGCCGTTATTGAGCTACAGGAATACTCAGATGTGATCATCCGTCTCACTTTCTTGTCGCCAATTATGGCGGCATACTGGGAATTACGCCACCACGCCCAGTCACATCGACTTATACGAGGCCGTTTTTGGAACCTAACTCTACCTTTGCCTGGGCTTACAAGTGAAGAGGGGCGTACGGGAGAACACACCGTTCGAAATGATGAAAGGTCCTGGACACCAGAAATGTATGAGAGCGTTTCAGAAGACCAACCAGAGGAAGGTGATGAAGAGAAACTTGCTAGAAGGCTTATCACCGCCGCATCAGCAGTTTACCACCGAAGCACCAGCGTTATAACTGATGAGCCACTTTGTCTTGGGGCCGTCCTCGGCCTAGACCTTGGAAAAATAGCAGCCACTGAACCTGATTACAGAGCCGAAAAATTTTGGCAAATGTTCCAGATGGTCCCTAAACAGCTGTTATTTTTAAGTGGGCCTAAAATCGATGTCCCCAACTATCGGTGGGCGCCTCTCAGTCTCCTTCGTACTAGTCAACCTGTGCTTCACTCGGATGGCGACAAGAGTCAGCTGTCTTCATGGTGGGACTATAATACAGAGTTTATCAAGCGCTCGGAGAATGGCCGCTTGGTAATTTACACAAAAGGTTTCATTCTTTCCCCGGCATCCATGACAATCGCAAAATATCTCTGGCTGCGGCTGCCAGATAGCGAAACGATCTGTGTGATGAGGCCGGAACAATCAGACGCGTGTGACCCCAGTAATGACTTCAAAAACGGCATTAGGGCAGAAGAGGATTACGGTTGCAAAGAGCTTGCCATTCTCACTAAATCAGCTGACTCGGAAGTTACTCACACTTCCGATTGTATTCTGGTCGCCATTCAAAAGACTGGCAATGATGGTGTATATTGTCGAAGAATATGTACTGTCGAGCTCTTAGCCCTGGACCCTGGATCGCTCCATGTTGGACATGTTAGTAGTGCGGAGGACATGCTGCAACGTTTATCGCTCGATTTGCCCGAAAGCTGCGTGAATCGATCTGGAGTGGTAGGGGCATTAGTGCTTCAAGAAGTGAGAACCTTGGATTGGTACGTCGGTTAACATGTTGTTGGCTTGGTAGATGATTGGTGGATCCGAGATCATACCTGAATAGTAAATGAACAAGAGTTAGAATTCTGAAGCATTATTTACAGTCAGGATACGCCGAATTGTCTACATATAAGCTATTGAGCCTGGTGATTGAGTATTTAAATTAAATTACCTCTATATTATAGTGTGAATATTAGCAAATAAATTTCCATCTTAAATGTTTTTATGATATGACTTTATTATCGACTCTACTATTTGGCCATGTCTCGATAGGTAGGTTAAAGTGATCGTAGATGCACACAATAGATATCTATTTTAATCTTGCCTAGCTTCCTATGCTATGCACTTTCCGTCATTCCCTTGTACCCTTAGCTCTTCGCCCTTGGGTAAACTCAAATTGAAATTTACTTGATCTGGCCAGCAAAAAATCAAAGTATGTTAGAGGAAACAACTTGGCGGATCTACTTTTCCCCCCTTTGGTACCCATAGCTAAATCGGCTATTCTGATTGGCTTGGCTAGCGCAGACACAATTTGTCTAGGCCGCTCGCGGATCGGCCCGACCTCGCCTAAGCGGACTGAGGTACCTTAGATTACATATGTAACCAGCATCACCTTAAAGCCTTGTTAGCATGGGGAAGTCCATAATGGGGAGGGCCAAATCCTACTAGTGTTCTCTGGCTCTGTTTCTTTTTCTGGGCTCTTAAAATAAGTTTTCCCAACATGAACTATGGCCTCCATTACGTCTAGAGCATGGTCATCATCCGAAAGGTGGGGTTCGGTATTAAACATCGCTGGTCGTTCAAGTCAGTCCTTGGTGACCTCTCAAGTCTGCGGGACGATGGGGTAAACTCACTTGATCGGACCGTTTTAATGCCCACTCGCATAGTCTCCTCAAGCCATGCTTGCTGAGATCCGCCTAGAATTGCCGTAGGATTAAACAAACTGCGATTTTCCGGGATCACTTCTGTGGGGTCCCATTTAAGGCTGTGTCGTTCTTGAGGCATGAGGAGACCGCCATGATGCATGAGCCCTAATTCTTTGCCGTTGGCGTCAAGATTCGCCAGCTGCCTGATGGCCTCTTGTTCACCAATGAAATTCAACACGTCTTGCATATCCGGCCTTCGTGACATCTCGGCGTAGGCCTTCAAAACTTCCTCGCGATCCTTGGACATCAGATCAGGACTTGGACTTGAAACTGGCTCAGACTGCTGTCCTTGCCCCAGCAACGATTTTGAAGCTTCTCCGCGATTGAACTGCATGCTTGCTGATGGTTGGGGTTTGGTCTGTATATTTTGGGGTTCAACTTCGGGCTGCTTGCTCGTGGAGTTGGATGGAAAGGACTGTGATCAGTGATTCTCATTCTGCGCATACCGTCACGGTCGCCGCAATTAATAAGGCAGAGAGAGGGGCTTTGACATTGGAATTGCTTGTTTTAGACCCACCAACCATCGATGCCGATGTTAAGTGGGCGATGACAGAGCACTCCAGGCCTCCATTGGTGGCTTTGCCAATATGCAAACAATTGACGTCAAGCTGGAGATTTCCAAGATGGAAATATTATTCGCATAGTGTCTGGCAAAAGGAAGGCTGTGTTTTTGGAATTCCGCAGCATGCAGTATGTCAAAGCCCAAGGCAGTATGTCAAAGCCCAAGGCAGTATGTCAAAGCCCAAGGCAGTATTAACCTCAGAATATCGGCTGGCGATTATGATTGGCGTTATACCCATGTCACAGTTAGGTAGATATGCAGCTGGCGCCGCTTTTGTCCTTGTTTGCTTACATATAGGGGTCAGCGTACCTGCGCCTCTGTGGTGGCACAGCTAGAAGCGAGGTATCCCTCGTTATGAAGGTTGGCAAGGCACAATTGTAGGAACACGATAATTTTTCCACTTTCTTTAACAATGATCTCATCATGCATATCTCTCTTCATTAGAGAATCCGACTTGATTGATTGGAAGAAGAAGAAGAAGAAGAGGAAGAAGAAGAAACGTCTTAGTGGCGCGGTAGTGTTAGGCGATCGATATATATAGAACTCGAAAGCTTTTTTAACTACAAGGGCATTTCTCTCTAATAGACCATCGTTCACCTCCATCTTTCTCACAATTTCAAATTCGCATTTTGTGTTACTTCTCTTTCACCATGGAAGAGGGATGGGTGCTGCCCAACATGGAACATTGCCAGAATCCTTTTGGTCCGGTAAAATCGGCCGTCGCTCGAGATTGGTCTTATATCCCTGAGGGATTAAAAGGCTCAGAGGGCAGGGTTATTGATAGGCTCATGGCTTACCAAGGGCTCGAAGGCGTCAAAAACGGATTTGTTCGTCTCAGATACAAAGTTCGAGTTGCTAAATTGCAAGGGAAAGACCCAGCACAAGACAACTACAATGCGTTTTTCCAAGGGAACCCTGGAACCGGTACGTATATTATCCATCAACAAATCTTACGGTTTTTAATAAATGACTTGCAGGCAAGACGTCTGTTGCAAGGCTCTACGGCGAACTACTTGCTGCTCTTCATATTATACCCTCCTCGGACTTCGTGGAAACCTCCGGAGTCAAGCTTGCAGCAAACGGCCCCTCAAATCTCGGATATGACGTAGAGGGCCTCCTGACGGGCAAAGATGACTCTGGTGTTCTATTCGTCGATGAAAGCTACCAACTGCTGGCAGACCATAGCGGAAAGCAGGTCTTGGACTTGATTCTCAAAGCCATGTCAGACAAGATCGGTAAACTAGTCGTCATTTTTGCTGGATATAAGGAACAGATGGAGCCTTTCTTGCAACATAACCCTGGCCTGGAGAGTCGGATTCCCTATACCTTTCATTTTGAAAATTTAACAGCTGCCGAACTGTGGGAGCTTTTCCATAAAACTTTGCGAGACAACTATGCAAACATGCAGTTTGAACGCAAGAATGGTGGCCGGGAGTTACAAATAGCTGTGAATCGATTGATGAGAAGGTCATCTGAGCGATCGTTTGGGAACGCTCGTGAGGTTCAGAACTGTATCGCAAGTATGCACAATCGTCAGCTTGAGCGTCTTTGGAATGAGAGGTACATGGGCGATCATTTGTCTGATGAGAGGATAAAACAGTATTTCATACTCACCCGCGACGACATGCTCGGACCACCTCCCAATGCAGCTTTCAGAAGCAAGGCCTGGGATAAATTGCAAAATCTCGTTGGACTGGAAGACGTCAAAGAGTCGGTTGAAAGCTTGATGAAATCTCTCCAACACAATTACGAACGCGAACTTCAACTAAAGCCGATGGTACAGGTTCCACTCAATCGTGTACTCGTTGGGCAACCAGGCACTGGAAAGACTACTGTCGCAAAGCTTTATGGGCAGATCCTAAGTGATTTAGGTCTACTCAGCAGAAGTGATGGTAAGACTTTGACCTTTTTGTCCCTCAACCGTTACTCTTGCACCAACTGACGTCTGAACAGTTGTCTTCAAATCCCCTGCGGACTTTATTGGCTCTCACGTTGGCGAGTCCGAACAAAAGACAATGGCGATTCTAGACGCGACTGTTGGTAAGGTTCTGGTTATTGATGAAGCATATATGCTAGATGATGGCGGTGATAACCCAGGCAGCTTCAAGGCGAGTGTGCTTGATACCATCGTCGCTAATGTTCAAGGAGACTCGAACGAAGATCGATGTATCCTTTTGCTGGGATATGAAGAGAATATGGCCAACTTGATGAGAAACATGAATCCAGGCCTGTCGCGTCGCTTTCAGGCTGCACGACCCTGGAGATTCTCTAATTTCAGTCCCTCAGAAATGAATCGAATCCTCGACAGAAAGTTGCAGTTGGAACAGCTCGGTACTACGGACCGCGCCCTTGAGGTCGCGCGGGAAATGCTCGTAAGGGCCTCGACTCGCCCTGATTTTGCAAATGCGTCTGAAGTGGATCAATGTCTTGGAGTGGCAAAAAACAACTACATTCACCGTTTATCGAAACTATCTTCAGAGGAACGTTTGAGCAACCCTCTTCTGATACCCGAAGATTTTGATCCTGATCTTAAGAGAAGGGATGAGAATTGTGATCAGTATTTCAGAGGGAAACTAGGAGACGACATCATCCAGCGCCTTACCAAGTATGAGTTAGTTGGTAGAGAGGCCGCGGGTCAGACGAACCCATCCGTGCTTCTACCAAATAGGCTGACCTTCAAGGGGCCATCTGGTAAGTTCTTGTTGGTTTTCACTTAGTTTTAGCACTTGAAATCGACTGACATCTTTAAAGGCACTGGTAAAACCACAGCTGCGGAAGCTTTGGGTCGAATTTACTATAATCTCGGGCTTCTATCGTCATCTGAAGTTGTTCAGAGCACGCCCATGGACTTCATTGCTCAATATGTTGGCCAAACCGCACCTAAAACGAGAAAGCAGCTCGAAAAGGCCCTTGGGAAGGTTCTAGTGATCGATGGAGCCAGTGGTCTGAGTCGTGGTCAGTATGGCGGGGAAGCCCTGGAAGCAATTCTGCAGTTCATCTCCAGCCTCTCCTATCCCAAAATCATGGTCATTATTCTATCAGACTCATCAAAAGAGCTTGACGTTCTTTTCAAAGAGTATCCTTTACTTCAGGTACAATTTGAGGAAGAAATTGTGTTTTCGGATCTCCTGCCAGACGACTGTATCGGTATGCTCAGGCATGAGCTCGAAACTCTCTCATTCCAGATACAGGATGAATCTCCCCTCATAGGACCGGCTAAGCTACGGGACGCGATCCTAAGGTTGCAGCAAGCCACAGGATTTCAAAACGCGAAAGACGTAAAGGCGCTTGCCAAGAAAGTAGCGGCAAAGGCTTTTGAACTCAAACATAAAACTGGACTTGAGGTTCCGCCTCGAACGACCTTACGCGAGTCGAAGGAAGAGGCATTAGTGGCCACCTACCCACTCATCACTAAATGTGTTCATGAGATGACCGAGCAACGCCGGGCCCTGTTTTTGAGAAATCTGCAGACTAGCACAAAAGCCCAGAAGACGAGTTCTCTACTCAGCTCTTTAACTCATTCAGCAAGTCAATTTCTGAAGCAGAAGCCTGGTGAGAAAGACGCAAATCAAGCGAGGGAAGACCAAAGCGATCAACAGACTAGGGTAAAAACAAAGGCTACACAGGACAAGGATATATCTACGTCTAGAGATACATCTAGGACTAGAGAAGGTTCGCACGACGCGGCTCAAAAAGAAGAGTCACGACAACGCAGTAACAAGCGATCAGCTAATGGTGACCCGGACGACATTCCATCGGCGAAGGTTGCGAAGTCCGAAAATCACCAACGAGAAAAGGAGGTATGCGACGACAACTCAAAAGCAAAGGACTCGAAGAGTAAAGTAAAGAGGTCGGTCAAAGAAATGGAACAGTTACGAGAAAAGGAAGAAGAAGCCATGAAACGAAAGTGTCACCAGTTAAAGCTGTGCCCAGAAGGATGGGCATGGAGGAAAGAAGGAACCGGATTCCGGTGCGAGGGAGGAAGTCATTACATTAGCGAGGACGAGTTGAACAAAAGGTGAGCATCGTTCCCTTGGGTTCGATACTGCATTCGCCGGTGGAATAAATCGCAAAGGACAATCATCAGTCAGGGGGCAGTCTAAGTGTTCAATTTTACTCATTTCAGTATTTTATGTTCTTCTTCAAGTTTGTCTACTAATTAGTCTCCCAATCCTCTAATCTATACGGTCTTTCAATGAACTACTTTTCTCTTTCCAGTCTGTGTCATGAACTATCAACTCGCTGGTATGACATGGCAATTCCGACTCGCATCTTGTCTCGGTAATTCTAATGTCCCCAAATAAAGGTTTGAACACGTTATGTTAATCACTCCCAATATTTGTTGAAAGTGCGCTGAGGAAAAGACTACCTTTCAGCGGTTGTCTCTCGGCTGACCTGGTTAGGCCCCTTTTTCTCCAAACTGACTGTCGTGGCTTCTGTCCGTAGGCCTTGAACTCATGGTGAAACGTCTCTCATTATATCTTTTCCACCACGTCTTATTAGATCTGTGCGGCATCAAACTCCAGTGGACCATTTTGTCCTCCTCTTCCTGCGTCATTTCGATTTTTGCGTACGCTGGGCTTCGTGACCGCTCAGTATTACCCAAGTCCACTTCCAATCGTAGGCGTGATCCAATCATTTTAGAGTTGTCGCCAACACGAGTAGCAGTTAAATAAGTTGCCAATAGCATGATAATAACTGTCACTATTTGGTTGAACAAATTGCTCATACCGAGAGCGATAGCATGAGCGGCGAAAAAGGCCCAGCCAATAACACGCGCGAGAAAGTAGTGTTGCCGATTGAGTGGCTGAGCATCTGTAACGATACAACCAACCACTAATTCCCGGGGGCCAAAGATTGTTATAGCCCTGCCATTCGGCAGAGTCAGAAAAGCTTTGACGTCTTCGCCAGGATCATCATATACTTTAGAAATTGTTTTGTCCATTGAGGCGCGTAGTTGTCCAACCATATATTGCCTGACAAAAACCTGACCGCACATAGAAAGAGAATTGGCGATTCCCCATGGGTCTGCTGTCAGAACAGCTAGGCATAATGACAGCACAATGGCTGAACCGCCAATTGCTATAGCAGATATGCTTCGAGCAGCCGGGAGTCGCTTCCCATCCATTTTGAGCCTAATAACAGTTGATGCGTAGTTTGGTGGAAAGGAAGAAAGCCATCGCGTGAACCAAGCTGCGACATCGGTAGCCATTATACCGTCCGTGATATTATAAAGAACATAACCATGTTCGGGGTCGGCAATTTCATTATTTGCCACGGCATATGACCCCAATATGGGAAGCCATTCTGTAACCCAACTTTTTGTCAAGTTTCCAACGGATGTGTTCATTTCTTTCGCGCCAAAGATCGTAACTAGACCTAGGGCGTCGATCTGAAACGGCGCCCATTCGGAGATAGTCTTGAGAACAGCGTGCATCATCTGAGGGATTAATCGCAATTGATGGAAGTTAAAAACTTCAATTAGATAAAAGGGCAAAAGCAGTAGTGGAATTCAAACTCAGTTTGGAGTGATATGTAGGGATTGAGGTATTTCCGAAGGTATAGGGCTGATGCTGGGCTTACATATATTGTCGACTCAAGTAGAAGCAGGGGTTAGGCTGACGTAAGAATCAGCCTAGGTGGACCAATAAAAGCTATGCTCCAGTTCTTTTGTTTCTAAATAAGCGCTAATTGGAGCGCGCAGTGAGCTTGCGACATGTTGGTCGGGCAGTGCTTGTCAAACCGTTCCACGCCTTAATAAACTAGGGAGGGATATGTTCATGCAGATGTCAAGGGATAAAAAAGTCCTGGGCCGGATACTAGCTAACATAGCCCGGGTGTGAGCGATATACTTCTCCGGGTTGAAAGTCGCCCTGTTTCCTTCTTCGGTCAATTTCCGTTCCTCGGCATCTAAGCTCAAGCAAAGAACGAGCTTTCCAACGCCGCGACACATAGCCTACCTAAGGACAGCCTACATTTGCTCCAAAGAACAAATATTTCGGGTGCCATTCCAGGATGAGTCATCAGATCATCAGAGATACTCAAGAGACCCAGCTACGGCACACGAATCTAGCATGATACCATCGTTGTCACATGTGTTGCGGCTGACTGTGAAGGAAACGTATGTACCGAATCTACCTATGGCCTGACGAGGGTGGGGGGTGGATTACAGAGCTACGCTCACCACTGCACCAGTGGCGTTGCTGTGGGCCAGCAAGGCAGTGTCGAATGGGGCATTGTGCAGAAGGCTTCTTATTCCTTACCACGATAATCAAGGCCCAATGAAGATGTGGACACACACGAAAATTTACAAAGATTGAACATATGCCAATCTTTCGTAATGCGCGTTTTCTTGGTCCTCTTGGAAAAAAGAAACGAGAGCTGAAAGCAAGGCGGACGAAGTATCCTTAGGACAAACCTATGTACCAATTGTCTGGTTGTCATCGCGACGCAAACGTTCCTTTGATCTATAAGTGAGAGTACAAGAAGATCGTTCGATTCCGGCGCGAAATAAAAGACCGTAAGCGGACTAGCAGAAGCTGGAGCGAGCTGTTGGGACAGTAAACGGTTTTTTCCAGGATGTTTTCGGAGGCTGCTCAGCCAAGCGTGTAAGGCTTCCTCATCATTGCGCCACTTACGGTTTGCGAGTGGTCGGTAATGCGTTGGAAGGCCCCGGTAGACTAGAAAGATTGGGTAGTAGAGCATAGCAAGTCGCTGTGCCCAAGAAAGAAATACCATTCAAGCGCACTTGGACTTGACGTAAGTTAAGAGTACGAAGACAAATAGCACTGAGACCGAAGTAGTGAAATTAGATAATGAGAGTTAGGGATGGAACACAGGAAGAAATTGTAAGATCGGGGACGGAGCCATGAGAAACTTGCTGACATACGATGACGTGAACTTGTGCTGCGAGTTACTGTTCTTGGTTAACCAACGATTACCTACAGTGGAACGGAGCGCGGTGCTATCTAGCAGGGGCAAACGCTTTTGCCAGTAAATACGATAGATATTTGCCAATTAGTCGATAATTGGATTACCAGTAAGTATTTCAAGGTGGGATTACTAGTAAAGGCTCCAAGCACTTTCTGGCAAAGCTTCTTGCGGACAAGGCGCTTCAGGAAACAGAAAATGGGAAACAAAACAGAAAAGACGGGGACAATTCCAGCATCTAAGAGTGAAATAAACATAGAAGCACCGAATAGCTGTCTGGTAATTCAATCATGATTCGGGCACAAATGATGTCTGCTTATAGGAATCAAACTCATCACGCAACACTGAGCTCGGCGAGAGACGCAAACTCCAATATCGTACACTTGCACCTGTCTGTCCCTCCTCGACTTCTGAGTATCGTAGAATCTTATTTATATACTCGTAAAACTTGTTGTCCGTTATCGCATGCGTACCGCCAGTTGGAATGTTCATGCAGCCGTCTAGTCCTCAGTCGTACAACAAATGTTATATTCTTGAGGCCACGCTCTACGCTAATTGTGGCAATTGCCCTTAGCCATGCACCGCCGTTTCGCCTTGCGCTATTGTCTCTACTAGGCTTGCTCGGGCGGTTGCAGAGTAATACCATAGATTCCCTGTTTCTCATTAATTATTAAAGTGAAGATCTGAAGTTTGTCAAAAAGATTTGGCGACTATCACCGCACTGCTTTTAAGGTAGTGCCAAAAGTTCTAGCACATCCACTTCTTGACCTTCAGAGCGATATGTCAACATGATGACTATGTATGGCCTAGTGCTTGCCTTTCACTAACAGTATCCTCACAGAACAAAAATGGAATCTATAACTCTCGAGTGGAAGGCATCTCCTTCGGCAAAGACCACGATGTCACTGGGTTCGAGTCTGGCAATCGAGTTGAGGAGCTAGACCATAAGTAGTAATTGATCTTGGACAAGGCCAATTCCGACAGATTAATGAGGGCAGGGCAATGCATGGCCGGCATCGTGCAAGTCGTGGCACCACCTGAGCGAGAACACGGGGAACAGATGCCGGAACAGCCAGAGCCATCGCCAACGACCAAGTCACCGGCAGTACAGCTGTAAAAGCTAGAACCCGTTGACAAAAAGAAGCTCACGGGGACTAAAACCGAAAAGCCACTAGTGAAGGAGAAGCAGCCGCCTCAGCCGAAGAAGAGTAGGCTATACAACAGCAAGATCCTTGTCTATGAGCAATCTATAGGGAGGACAGAGATGGTAACGTGCAGTCGTATGGAGCGCTTGATGATCCGGTGCTTAGACCAACACTATTTCAAGTCAGGCCCCGACAGACCCCAAATTTAAGGCTGGAATACAATGATGACAACTGCGGCCTGCATCTAGTGATCCCCCTATCTAGTCCTTTAGATGAGGAACGACTAAAAAATAAACATACCACTGATGTCTGCTACTTTTTATTGACACACTGTCAACATGCAGTGGGCTTCAAGGTACAGATGGCTGATCGTTAGATGTTTCTAGTGCGTCGAATGCCGAAGTAAAAAGCTCGGCCTAGCTCAAGTAAAAGCCGGGAATTTCCTGTCAACTGTAGTTGATTCCAGTTGCGGCGAAAATGTACTCACGGTCGCGGTCGAGAAGAGTCGAAGGCGAGTAATGATGGCAAATGCTGTCTAACGAGAGGGTCATGATAGCGTGTGACTCGGAGTAAATGGATGCCATATTTGGGACCGATCTGCAGCAAGCTGAAAGTCGACCTGATAATGGGGAGGTTATGAGTCTCGAATGGCCTGGGCTGAACGGCAGCAAAACATGTTTCATGCGTTGTGGCTAGCTGAGGTCGTGATTGATAATATTGGTGGCCAATGTTTTAGATCGGGATTTGGTCTGGAATTTAATACATTCGGATGACTGCTTCGGGGGACTGCTTCGGGTGAGGGGGCGGCCGCTCGCTAAGTCGTGTTTCATGTTTATTGCCACCCCAGATTCATTAATTAGGACGCGTCGGAGTCGCGTCTGGCATTCCAGAATCCACATCATCCACATCATCACCTTGCCAACACCAGGATACCAGCATACCCTACCGTTAACGAATTTACCATTGAACCACGACCATGTCTATTAAAAAAAATCTTCTGCAACAACTTCAGAGTGTCAAAGAGTATGAAACCTTCGCGCTAGTGACCGAATCGACTGGTCCTCCAACAACGCAAATCTCCTTCCAGCACCCACGTGAAGGTAATTCACGCTGGTGTGAAGAACAAGCCCACAAGAGTATTCGGCGATTCAAAGAGCTGACCAAGCTGTTGAAAAGATGGCTAAGCAGAGGCGCCAACAGACACGGCCCAAAGTCAAACTGGTTGTGCCATTTCCTGGATGAAGACTACACAAAATCCAACATCTCTCTTGAAGCGCTTCAGAAAAGAGACCTCCCGATCACCCAGGCACTGAATTCCCTCTCTAGCCAACTTGGCTTTGAAATTTTCTTGGCAGTGCTGGACAAGGAACTGGTTGGCTTATGTCAAGACCCCAAACCCGTCTCTTGGTATTACGATTACAACTTTGACGACGACATTACTAGAAAAAGGGTGAATTTTAGGGTATTGAAGCGTGTTTTCGAAAAAAATTACCGGATCGCTAAACTGGTCAGTTTGGATGGAAATCTAATTGCGGAGAATTTGCGTCTCAATGAAAGCGTTTTGCTCGAGACAGACGGATTCAAAGCGGTAAAACCAAAGGTGAAGGGCGAGAATAAAATGGATTCTGTAAGTTTCCGACGTCACTCGTGCAAGCCATACCCACAATTCTCTATAACCTCTGGTTGAGTTCTTACAACCGCTGACTTTACGCTTTGCACAGGACCCAACTGCTTGGCACTTGTTTTCCAGGACTGTAAGATTCTACAGCAACCCCCTGCACCTGACACCGGGAGCAATGTTATGCTGACTGATGATTTCACAGGCTCTGGTGATTGTTCCGCAACGTTCTCTTCTCGCTCTCTTCCAGCGGGCTCCGGAGCGCGGCTTCAAGAAACACCCCATCAAGCACCCTCAATCCGCAGCCGCGTTTCTTGCCAAAGCTTCTTTGCGCCCGCAAGCACCTGCTGTCTATTCTGATACTCTGCAAAAGTACTGTCGTGACAGGAGGGGCATGCAATACCCCGGAGGCACAGAGAACGGGATTTCTCTAAGTGAGGAAGATGATACAGCTGCTCTCTACGCAGGTTTACGGCTTGGAAACATCGGAATGCTTGATCAAGTTCTGAAGGAACACCGTCGTTTTAGCCAAGTGCCGCGCGGCGTTATTGATGGCATTCTGAAATGGCTAGACTTCGCTGACAGGGAGTCACGATCCAGGTTTGACAAGATCAAATCCAGGTACGTCTATGCTTCCTTCTTATTCTGAGGTATTTTGAATTCTGACTGATGAATGCAACCTAGACTTGACATTCTGGTTGAGGGTGGTGCCACCTTGTCACTGAAAGTCCAGACTCTTACCTCTTTCGCTTCACCACATATGCAAGAAAACCCTTCCGGAGATGCTGCTCATCTCAATATCCCTGAATTCGTGTTAGCCTGGATTCGTGAGTCTTTGCAGAGAATTTTAAAGTCACAATCTGAAACCTCTCTTGATTTCGAGGAGGGGAGAGCTCTAGCGGATGCAACGGCGTTTTTTGAGGAACCGGAGGAGTTCTTTACGACAAGGTATAGTGCTCCCCCCCCAACACCCGAAGACATTTACTCACGATGGACGTCTTTGCAGTGTCATGCCTGTCTTACGACGCAACTGTCAAACGCCGAAGTTCCTCCTAGGGGCTTCCACTGGCTTTCACGAAAAGCACCAGAAGTTCGCAACAGAGCCCGCCGGGAAATCGATGCTCGAGTATTCTCAAATCGCAGCCAGACTGCTCATTTCCGAGACCAACTTTGCCCGCCTGGTGAGCTGGCGGACCTTTCCTCGTGAAAATCCATTGTGCTTGAATTTAGGGGAGCTGGAGAGATTATTCACCCTTTTCTGGCGGCTAAACCCCTCGGAGAAGGGCCCAGCGGTCTCATTTATGACCAAGCTAGCCACCGATCTATCTGGCGCCCCGATAGAAAGGCTTCTGGATTTGTGGGTTCCATTCCTACAGGATCTCCTAAAGCTTTTGCGCAATCGTCTCGCACTCAGCAGCCCAGCATGCCAAAAATTATACAAGACCGTCTTCGGGCGCCTCGTTAACGAGTACATCGGGGAAGGGTTTTCCACAAGAGCGTTTCCTTCTGGAGCCCGAGTGAACTGTAACTGTGGACCTTGCAAAGATATCAACGTCTTTGTTGCCGACTCAGAAGCGAAGGAGCGTGAGTTCGAAGGTGTTGGCAGGAGAGCACGAGTACATGTGAAGAAAAAGCTGCAAGAGGCTGGAATCCCCTGCTCGTTTGAGACGGTCGTCCCGAAACCGACGGTGAAAATTCTAGTTGTGACCAAGATATCCGCCCAAGCCGCAACATACGGCCAGTCATTGTCTTCTATAAATAAAAAGGAAGAGGTGCGTAGGATACTCAACAAGTTTTTTCCGACTGATCTAAAGAGGCTTTTGGGTTCAGACTACGAGGCCATTCGTGATTTGAAGCCGGTGTTGCTGACCTCTGATTCCATGTCCGGGAGTGAGGGAGGCTCCAATGCCGTGGGTAGAGACGACGCATTGGAAGCAAATCTGGCTTCTCTCGACAATCACGAGCCTTCTCCTGGAAAGGCTACCCTTCGAGCGACGGCCGCTGCATTTGTCAGTGGCAGGAATAAACATGAATGTTATGAAGCGAGTGGTTCTACCCCTGAGAATGCCAGGAGCTCTAAACGACGGGCCACTGATGATGCACCGCTCGCGTCATCGCCCGTGGCAAAGAAGCGGAAGCGAGGCTGTGCGAAACATGGGAGTTGCGTGTTCGCGGCCTTGTTTGGCCGTGAGTGTCCTTGATTAAGGAGTGGGTGCAAGTCAAGCCTCATTATGAGAAACTGCTTAGAGGAAGGGCGATTCACAACACCCCTTTATACGGTTTGGTCAGTTGTGGCACCGCCGATGTACGATAAGGGGGTTTTGGAAGAAGCGGTTGTCTCATGGGGTGAAGTAAACGGTAAGTTGTTCAGCTGAATCTGGATGATGTGAATGAGGTGATCTTGAAGGTGATCTGACCAATATTGCTACCATGTATTTTTAGCTATTGTTTTTATCTATTGTCCCCTTGGCAACGGTGCCCCTACAGATTAGATGGGAAGCGATTGTATCACTTCCCTTGAGCTACACAGCCGACCCAAAACTACCTCAGCTAAGCGAAGGAAAAAGTTGTCATCGCAACTAATACCTCAGCCCCAAAACCAAACCGGAGGATTGGCTTGCTGCGTGTAAGCAACAGCGACTTCTCATCGCAGTCAAGATGCAAACAGGTGCAGACAAGGAGGAATGGCGGATATCGCCTCCAGCGTCAAGAACTGTAGGTCCTGGTAACAACTCAGCTTTGGCGGCTCATGAGGAGGTTGGAAAGAAGGCTCGAGATCTAGAGAGGGCTCTCCAGAGCATCGGGTTTCTATCAAGTCTCTCTGGTACCACCTTAGAGACAATATTAGTGAACAACGACGTGACGTGTGTTATTTTGCTTGGCATTATATGCTCGGTACAAAAATCAGAGAAACTATAAAAATCATCAAGGGAGTAGGTTACGATAGACCCCTCAAAAGGGACCTCGCGGAACGCGACAAGATGACTCGCAGGGTAGATTCTTCTTTTAACGAGGCACTTGTTGGATAATAACCTTGATTAGCTGTCTAAGCGAAAGGAGGAATAGTTGGCTAAGCCTGGACAGAAGGACCACGTCAAGATGCTACGAGTCATAACTTCTACGTTGTAAGTTTTAACAACCGGGACCTTTTTTTAGATTTAACTACTTTTATAATGGACTCTTCTTTCAAATTCTAGGCAAGCTCAATGCGAGATGCTAGAGTAACTAACCAGGAGGTAAAACACCTCAAGTAGTCTTGAACTACCTTGTTTAATCACTTTACTTGTCCTTTCTTGTCCCCGTCATTTCCCCATTCACTTGGGTAACGGATTCTTTAGTATTTCCACTGCTAAAGCAAAATTCCTCCTGGCGTTTCTTTAGCAGTTTCATTCTCCATTGCCCATTCGCTAGGCTTGCTGGGCTGGCTACAGCGGCACGGAAATAACCTATAATCAGAAATCTGTCAACTAGATGTAGATTTCAGATTGGTACATCGGGACGGTGGCGGAATCGATTCCTGTGCCAATTCCCGTGCAAATACGCCCGATAATCATATGCGCCAAGGTAAAAGCCGTACCCTGAAGCACAGCCTCAATGATAAGGAATGCTATAGCTGCCGCAGTCATGCGCCTGCGACCCCAAACGTTGCCGAGGGAAAAGGCGACGGCACAACTTAACAGGGGTCACAAAAATGAGGAGCGTACGATGATTTCTGTGATTGTATCAGGTTGGGATCTTGATTCGCCCCGTAGCTTCCTCCGAGGCAACCTCGCCCGTCAGCCAGGATGCAGTGAGTGCGACACGGACGGTCTGGGCGGAGTTGGTAAATGGCACATGACGGACCGGCTGCCCTTCAGCGGCAGCATATCTCGGACTGCGGCCAATGAGCCAGCGAGCTGGTGGTGCTAGTGCTGATCAACAGGGTATTTGTCGAGAGGATCGGAGCAGGTGGTGGGATGCTGGCAGTCGAAGGAGTAGAGGATAAAAGAATGGCAGGTGAAGTTGGCAGGTGACGTTGGCAGGTAGTCGACGAAGGAGTGGCCGACGAAGGAGTGGTCGACGAAGGGGGTCAATGAAGAGGTGGTCGATAGTGTGCTGCAACTGAACGATGAAGCCGCGACTGATAGAACGGGTGTCAGTGTGCTTAGGGTAAAGACGATTGGGATACAGCTCAGTGTAGCTGGAGAAAATGTAGCGGCTGTTGAAGTGCTTGCAGATGCAGTGGAGGAGGCAGACGCGGTTGTGTGTAGAGTGTAGACTGGTGTGGTGCTGCCTCAGCACCAGCAAAGAGCGATGCGCTAGCCGGAACCGCGTGAATGTGAAGGCGGGGTTGAATACGCGTGATGAAAATGATTTTGATGAAAGAATTTGGGCAGGGCGAGAAAAGCAAAGCTCCCCTTGGTTGTCGCTGAAGGGTGCGTGCTCGAATATCCCTTGATGATATGTGGGTTTTCAAGGTTCCTGGGCAAATTGAGGTCTGTTACTGGCGCTGATTCCATCCATATGGATCGCATTGAGAAAGAAGAATGTTATTCTCATGCGCCTTGCTTATGTGCCTTTCTGACGTTGTAGCTGTAATCTCCTTCCAACTGGATAACGATAGAGGAATTATATCATCCTGTAGCTTCCTGGTAGAGAGCATTTAATAGACCTGAACGGAATTATAACACCTTAGATCGAGAAGTAATAGCTATGATAGAGATATTCAATCATTGTTATTACAATGGAGAGGGATCTATAGGGACTCTCAGAAGTTACGCTCTTTCATGAGCCAGCCAAGCGGAAGGTAGGCGTAATCGGGAATAAGATTGGATATAATTTCCCCGACCTGTCAAACCACCCCCCGAGGGTTACTGGCAAATTCAAGACCTTCGATTGGCTCACGTAATAGTAATAGGTTTTGCGCAACCCTCAGGGGATCGTCTCGCGGGAGGGATCTGTTGATGGGGCGGGGCAACTTGACCTAAAAACTTGAGATTGATTGACTGATTGATTAGTGTTTTCGGCCGACTGAAAAGGTAGTCGAAGGAAAGGGTATCCACTTATCTAGCTAATTATATATATTGTCTGATGACGAAAAAGGAAAGAGACTTCGATAGAAGAGGGTGTGTTCAGAGGTTTCAGGGGCAGCGGGACTCAGATGATCTTGCCGCTTAGTGTGTAAGGGGGGAGACGGCAGGCTGTTTCTCTATTGTTTAGCGCGTGGGTCGGTAAGAGACGAGGCAAAGCAAAAGAAAGAACGATAAAGAGAGAGGGGGGAGACTCAAGGCTTTTTATACTATGACTTGAGAATGTTCGTGGTGTTGTATGCGAGGGTGATGCGTTGAGTAGGTCTTCCAGTCTGGCCTGATCTGGTCGTCGACAAATCCGTCTTTCCAGGGCTGGTTTAATCAGCTTGCAGTAGAAGATGTGCGCCGGAGTTTTCCTGCGGCCTCATTTGCAGTTCAGTAAAAACTTGAGAAGGGGCACACTTCACATGCTATTATTTTCACATCTAAGGTAAGTGGCTAATAGGAGCTAAGTGCAAGAGGCAGGCCGCCTAAATGATGTATAGGGGGCGCCCCTGCACACATTATCCGAGGTGTATATTCGTACTCGCTATATGCAGGTAGGAAGCTAAGGGATGCGGTTGGGCATGAGCGGAAGATGAGGTGAGGCGAAAGCAATTTGCAGTAGGCGAGCACCTGCCATCGTACTTCGGCAAGTCCTTTGCCCTATCTATCGATACTATGAGACCCTCCCCTTGCGCAGGATGTCGACCCAAGTTCACGGATCAAGAGGCATGACTCGACATTGAATGGCGGCGCTTGCGGAGTTATCAGTATCGTACTGACAAAATGTAGGCTGAAACCAACTTGAAGGAACCCCTGTTCCGGGCTTAGCCGAGTACTACATGCAAGGCTACTTGGCAAATCTTAGTCGCCTTGTCTCATGCGAAGGTAACGTATTATGTCTAATAATAATTCACTGGCCAATGAGGCTTATCGTACAACGGATTGGATGATCCTTCTAGTAAGGTGATTGCATTCACTCGCAACTGAACGAATTGGAGAACATGTTTGTCCGAAGCTGTGTAGAGAATGTTGAATCCTCCAAATAGTTACAACTACTTCAACAGAGCTTAAGAGACTAACTAATTAATGAATAGATATATAAGGTTTATGTTTTCCTCTGTTTATTCCTCTTATAACTCTCATTATCATCCATCTCTTTTTACCTCGTTTCTGCATTGAATTTCTTTCTAAACATACCTTATTATTCACAATGCTGTCCTGCAAGTTGACCTCTGTTGCTGTAGCAGCTATTATCGCTTTTTCTGGTCAAGCTGTCAGCTTCAAAACTACACATGCTGGGCTTAGTCTTAGAGATGCTATCGACGAAAACCCTTACTTCCTCAGCGTCCGTGATGATGCTTGGCTCAATCTTGATGTTCGAGGATTTGATGATGCCGGCCTTGCTCTGAATGAAGAGCGTGACCTTGAGGAGCGTGGCACTGGTGGTTACATACAGAAGGGAAAGGGGAAAGGCAATAGTGGTGGCGGCGGCGCCATTGATTCTATTGTACTGCCTCACCGAAAGGGCAAGCGGGCCCTTAAGGAACGTGGTACTGGTGGCTACATACAGAAAGGCAAGGGCAAAGGCAACAATGGCGGCGGCGGTGGTGCTATCGGTCCTATTGAAGTGCCTTACCGCAAGGGGAAGCGTGGCACTAGTGGCTATAAACAAAAGGGCAAGGGGAAAGGCAACAGTGGTGGTGGCGGCGGCGCCATTGATTCTATTATAGTGCCTCACCGAAAGGGTAAGCGAGCGCCTGAGGAGAACTAGATCAAGAGGCAAGGGAGTCGTTATCGCCACTGGTTGTTTCTTATAGCATTGTATATCTATTTTAACATGTTAGTTGTTATATGGTTGTTTCTTTGATACGAACACGATCCTCGCTGCAAAGCCTTGCTAGCTGTTATTACTATCTACAGTACTGCTAGTAGACAAGCACCTAGTAGCAGCCCAACATCCTGTGAAGATTAAAAACATGTTAGCTGCAATCATTTCAACCGCCATCTCTCTCATGCCTTTCTTCTCAGCTATTCGCGAAAAGATAAATCCGGATTCTTTTTATCATCAACTATCTGTTACTATTATTAAGAATTTAGGGGTTGTAGATAGGAGTTATGCGTAGCTTTGGCAGAATTGAAACTATTGGATGACTGATTCTCACGGAAGGGACGGGCGACTTCATTTCATGATATTGATGAGAGAGGAAAGAAAAATCAGATAAAAGCTTTGAGACTGTAATCTGATGTACTAACATATATTTCATCAAAATGAAATTTTCAAGCCTTGCAGATTTAAGTAGTAAGTGAATAAACTATATTCTAGGTAGGATCATAGGATCTAGTGTTTAGGAAATTACTCCTCCTATATATGATCGAAGTTCCCAGGGCTCTCCAGCGTTACAGCAAGTAGATTCAGTATCTAACCAGACACATGGGTCTCTCTCCAGGCACTAGATATGGCTTGTAGTAGGTTTGTCGTCCTGGATATCCGAGTAAGCCCTTCCCTTGTGGTCAATATCGGACTTCCCCGTCAACTCCTTAACTCGGTGTTCGGGATCAGCGAGAGAAGACCGCTCACGTCGAAATGGGTTGAATCGGGTCTCAAAAAGCTTGTCAATATCCTCAAGGGCCAGGCCCTAAACGGGTCACGCATTGTCAGCAAATCCTCCATGTCTCAACGGCAAGAGTTTGGCAGGGGACCTACCTTAGTCTCAGGGAGGAAGAAGAATGTGAAGACGAGCGCTGAGATGGAGATGCCGCCAAACACCCAACCAGTCCCGAATTTAAGGTTGGCGATCATGTAGGGGATTACATAGTTGGTCACAAACGCCCAGACGACATTCCACGCCGCGCCTAGAGATTGGGTCTTTTCACGAAGGGCAGCGTTGGGAAGCTCGGTTCCAAGAAGATAGGGTATCGCTGCTCCACCGCCCTTCACACATCTGTCAGTAAAGGTCGCGACTTACTATATGTGAAAAAGAAAACTTACATTGTATGAGAGTGAGAAAAGCATAAGGGCCGCGACGACGAGGTTGTTCTCTGTCGCGGTCTTCTGAGCCTTTGAACCAATGCCCGCTAGTATCATCATCCAGAAAGCCTGGAGGCTAAAGCTGGCCAGGAGGAGGTTTCGGCGACTATTACAGTAATTGCGCGTAAGTGTCCATGGTTCTAGTCTGCTCAATACGGTGATAGAAGATTGGACTTACCCCATGTATTCGATAAGGTACATGGCCGGGAACACAACGAAAGTGTTGAGACAATACAAAATGACGGGGTAGGTAAATGCCTGGTCTGCATAGCCATTCTCCTTATAGAACACCGTCTGATATGTTGAGACGAAGGCTTGGCCGGTTGTCTGCACCCACTTGTATTAGCTGACAGCCAAAGGTAATATTTGTTGTTTTCAACGCTCTACTGACCTGCTGGTAAAAGTAAAAGACAATCACTAACACAGTTCGTCGAAGATTGGTACCGCGGAACAGGTCGATCCAAGGCCCCTTGTGTACGTGTTCTTGAAGTGCCGCGCGGATCGTCTGGAGTTCAGCCTCACAGGTACCATCCTCAACATCTGCCTTGGGTCGCAAACGCTTGAGAGCTGCGAGAGCTTCTTCCTCGCGGTCTTTGGATAATAGCCAGCGAGGGGAATGAGGAATGAGGAAGCTAAAGATAATAATAACTGGCAAAGTCAGCTCCGCCCGCAATCCATTCCATGCATATTGTAGGGTACAGTCTTCTTACAAACAGGAAAGACAAATTGAATAGCGGTAATTATCTTCCAGCCAAGACCGCTAGTGTACGTCGAAAAAGCTTTATTAAGCCCAACTGCAATGATTGATCCAAGGTTCAGGAACAGTTGCAGAGAGATGACAACAAAACCGCGCAAAGCTGGCGGAACAATTTCTGATTGGTAGGTTCTAATGAAAATTTCAGCTTCTCTCCACGCTCAAAATATCCAACACAATTACGAGTGTGCGAACTTACGTTACGTCGACTTCAACAAGGCCAACGGAAATGTAGACAATGATTCGACCAACGATGAACTGTGCGTAGCGCCCAGTGCCTACTCCGTCATCCGCAGCCGTGATCTCAACTATTTGGTCGTGAGCTACCGGCTCGTTGTCGTTGATTGAGTATAGAACTACTCACTGATAACACCAATGATGGAGATGATGGACAGGGCGAAGAATACTGTTCGATGTCCGAACCTCTCAATGGACGGGCCGGCAATCAGACAACCAATAAACTTGCCAATGAAGGCCAAAGAGGACAGCAAGGAGACGTATACGGGTGCAAAAGCGTAAGTGACGGTTTTGGGATTGTGGGTAGCGAATTGTCGGAGAAAACCCTTAGAAAATCGATCTCGTCAGTAAAAGGGGAGGCAATGATAAGGCCTTACGTGGTCCTCTGATTCCAAACGTAAAACATTTAATTCCAAAAAGGGGTACTTACTGGGTTGGCTAGAATACCTCCGAAACTGGCGGTATCGTACCCGAAGAGCACATCTCCCACCAGCAGGCAGAAGCAAGAGAAGAACAGCATCGGGGTGACGCTAGCCCAAGGAGAACGGGACTTCTCCCCTACAGACGCCGTCATCGTTGTCTAAAGTGGTCGAGAACGCTGTCAAAATCTAAAGATGGGAGAACGAGAAGGAGGGATTGGGAGAGCTATAATGTCGAGATGCCGAGGGGGAAGGCTGGTGTTCGAGGGGACGCTGGCCTGTTATAAGAATTCGAGAACACGTCTTGACTGGTCCCGGTGCGTTGCTAAAGGAGGCTTCTAAGTTTTGCTCTCCAAGACCCCATTATCTGGGGAAACATGGGGGAAGAGATTGGAGATTTCCCCAGCAAAAGTCAGCACTCAGCCAATATGCTTGATCGTGAACTTCTGATTCCTGGCATTGCGGGTCGAACTAACGAAAGATTTCCGAGCGAGGCCCCGCCTCGTTTCTTCACCTGACACATTCACCAATAGAGATGGGCTTTATTCCGAGCAAGGTCCAATGTCATCTAAGCGAGTTACCCGACCATCCACCCAAAGCTCCGAGCGAGATAACATTCCGTGGACCCTCAAAGTCTCGAGCTACCCTTTCTGCACGACGAACTCTTCGCCACATGTTAAATTGATGCTCCTCATCGTGAAGCTCTTTCGCAAAGGCTTATGGAAAACGAGAGTGTGTTTGGCCTAAAGAACCCTCCCCCATTAATCTCTTCTATCACTTTCGCACGCCATGGCCACCACGAGTAGTAAACCGGAGTCGGTGCCGAAGCGCCCGAACATTCTCTTCATTCTTGCAGATGACCTGGTGAGCTCTCCTCTGAGCATTGTTGAACGACAGCAGTACGGGATCTCGAATGCTAATACGTTGACCTTGGACTAGGGGTTTTCAGATATTGGATGCTATGGCTCAGAGATTCAAACACCCAACATCGACCGAATGGCAAGTGAGGGCATTCGCATGCTCAATCACCACGCCGCTGCCGCTTGCTCCCCCACTCGCGCCATGCTCCTCAGCGGCACCGACGCTCATCTAGGGGGCTTAGGGGTCCTTATCGAGTATAAAAACAACGAGAAGGGTGCAAAAAGATGGTCGGGCAAGGCTGGATACGAGGGGTATCTGAACGATGAAGTGGCTGCTATCCCGGAGATCCTCCAAGACAATGGGTATTTTACTCTCATGTCTGGAAAGGTGAGTGTTTTGGCAATCTGCATTCTCGCTCAATGAAAGCTGAATAGGAGTTTAGTGGCATCTTGGCATGCGAGCTTCCCAGGGGCCGTGGAATCGCGGCTTCGAGAAGGCGTTTGCCATGCTGCCGGGCTGCAGCAACCACTATGGCTGGGAACCAGTACAGGAGAGATTTCCCGTTGGGGGCCGACCTATACACGCTGAGAAGGGGTTGAAAGTTGACATGTATTTGGCGACCAAGCTCTATAGGACGAGAGAACTTGCTAACGTTCAAGCTGGTCAGCCCGCCGAATAAGACAGAGGATCCCGAGGGGTTCTATTCGACCGATTTCTATACGAACCGGCTCCTCGAATATTTCCAAGGCCGAACAGAAGAAGACAAGGAAAAGCCATTCTTCGCCTTTTTACCGTATACTGCCCCCCACTGGCCTTTGCAATGCTCGAAGGAACAGCGTGACAAGTAAGAAACCTCCGATTGTTTTCGAATCCATTCTCGATTAAGCCAATTTCTTACGATCGCACCGCGGACAGGTATAAAGGAGTATACGATGATGGCCCTCTGGCACTCCGGGAGCGTCGTCTACAAAAACTTGCCGATCTTGGCATCATTGACAAAAGTGTTATCCCACACAAGGTCGAGACATCGACTGTGGGAGTTGGGGAGTGGGACGAGCTCAACCCAGAAGAAAAGAAGCTCTCGAGCCGAGCTATGGAGGCTTATGCTGGGATGGTGGACTCCATCGATGTCAATGTCGGTAAAGTGGTTGAGTATTTGAAAAAGACTGGGGAGTACGATAATACGTTCATCGTCTTTATGAGCGATAATGGGGCCGAGGGAGCTGCGTGAGTGACATGTACTCCCCTAACGCCTTGTTTCCAATCAGAGTCTTAGCTAACTATTCACTATTCTAGTCTGGAAGCCATTCGTAGGCACAACCTCTTTTCCTTCATGTTCCAATGGCTAACCGCTTTCTAGCTGTAATGGGAGAGAATATCAAGCAGGCCATTCATCAATACTATGATAACTCGCTTGAGAACATCGGGTCGTGGAATTCTTACACTTGGTACGTTGAAGAGTACCTCGCCACCTTCTAAATCCTTGCTGACCAAAGCCTCGACCAGGCTCGGCCCCCTTTGGGCCCAAGCATCAACTGCCCCGTCAAGATTGTTCAAGTGCTATCCATCCCAAGGCGGCATTCTAGTTCCCTGCGTTGTCAAACCCCCTGCCAACGCCTTCCTTCCGTCATTCACCCATGGCTCCTTCAATAGATCATTCACGACAGTGATGGATTTCGCCCCAACCTTCCTCGAGATGGCCGGTATAAAGATGCCCCCAGCCACAACAAAGAAAGCCCCTGCACCTCCACGAAAGGAAGCCGCCACACGGCAGATGACTACGTTCCGTGGCCGAGACGTCCACAAAATCCGAGGCAAGTCTTGGCTTCCATACTTTGCACGGGGCCAGAAGGTCGAGGAGGATGAGATGTGGACGGTTTACTCATCGAAGGAGCCAGTGGGCTGGGAACTGTTCGCTCGAGGGGCGCTACGCAAGGGTGATTGGAAGATCGTCCACTTTCCCAAGGATCATGGCGGCGCGGGTGTTGGTGATGAAGGGTGGGAACTATTCAATGTGGTAGCAGATCCCGGCGAGACCAAGGATCTAGCCGAGTCGGAGCCGGAGAAGCTTAAGGAGCTGCTGGCTCACTGGGACGAATACGTGGTAGAATGTGGGATTGTCTGGGGAGATACAGCTGCAGCTCCGGGTCTGACAATGGACGAGGCCCCGCAGTTATGGGAAGATGAGCTCGACTTGCAAAAGGCGTGGATGGGTGCCAAAGGGGGAGAGTGTCCCGCATCTTGTAGGTAGTGATGGAGGAACAGGCACAAGGAATGATTTTCATTATGATCCTTACACAAAAAGATGCATATACTAGCAGCCCAGACATCCTTGCTTGTTGCTTGTGATAGATCTCGCATGCTAATGCAGTTCTTCACTACCAAACGGCCCATTCAGCTCCTAGCTTGTACCTTTTGTTCAGCAGAGAGCCACAACTTGTCCACGATCAATCGATAGTTTTCGTGTATAAATAGACTATTTGATTATAGCGAAAGCCACATCTGTTAGTATATCTGAGGCAAAGAGTTTTCTCAGTATCTTCCCATCATTAGCCCGCACTATGATCACCGGTGTAACCCCATGAGATTACAAGGAGTGGTCCACCAACCCGGAAAAAAAAAAAAAAACATTCCGCGTGTCACCAATTATGAAATGTAGTGGAGATTCATGTGACCAGAAATGTTCCGAGCGAGAGTGTCATGACTTGACTCATGTACTTACGCTAGCAGGGTCCGTTCCGAGCGAGCACCACCGAAAGACAAACAGCTTTGAGTGGGTGCTGATCCTTGACTCATGAGTCGGGCGGCTGAGTTCGGCAAAACTTATCAGCAAAGCTCATCAAGACGGCATGGAGGTTTTGAGACCACGTGGTTGGTTCCTCCAACTCCAACCGAGCCTCGTCCTCACCAAACCATCGCTCGGAACACACAAAGACCCCAGCACGCAACATTCTCATCAGCCACTGCTTGTGGATCACAAGGAATAATGGATTCGTGGACTCCCAGCCCGACCCAGACAAACACCTCCGCAACGACAGCGCCTTCACCTACCGCCAGGTCAAATAACTCGCCAGTGAGAAGGCAAGCAATCCACCGAACTCGTACCGGATGCAGCACATGCCGACAGAGACGGGTATGTTACACTGGACTTCTCTTTAAGTACCGAACGATACAGAGAGGGTTATTCAGATGGCTGACATCGTCTGGTGCGTGCGTCTAGGTGAAATGTGATGAGAAACGGCCATCCTGCACGCAGTGTCAAAGAGTAAAGCGGGCGTGCCAATGGCCAGGTCCCGAGAGCGAGGTTAGGAGGGCTCGTTCATCGAGGAGGCCAAACGCCACGGCCTGTGACGCCTGTAGAGATAAAAAGGTTCGTCTTTGCCCCTGGCAGTTTCGTCAAATTGGATCAATTGACTCATCACTCTTCCTGCAATGGCAGCTCAAATGCATTGGAGATATTCATGATACATGCGACAAGTGCAAAGCGTCTGGGAAAAAATGTATACGGCCAGCGCAGAGCCAAAACCAGATGGGTGATGGTTTCACTGCCTCCAACCCATTGGTAGCACCGTCCTTTTCGCCCTCGCCCCTCCAACCTGGCTTTTCTCATGCCAGTGGCTGCGAGACAGAACACCCCCCACTACCTCTTCGTGATCTCGGGCCATCCACTGATCCAATTGAGCAATTTCCTCTTGGACAACCGCCTCAGGGCAGGGAGCTGGAGGATTTAGTCCAGCTCTATTTCACGTCTGTACACCGTGAGTCACCCAGCTTCCTCGGGGGGTAATTGAAATGGCCTGCCTGTTCATTACCGTCGTGCTGATTCTTAGATAATATAGAGTTTGGCTTCTTTGCTTTCATTCATCAACTACAGTTCAACCGGCTTCTTGCAAAAGGCAAGGCACCCCGTGAACTTACGCTCATGATGATTGCAAGTGCCGTAAGGTAGGGTTTGCCATTATATATCTCCTTGCTGACCCTTCCTCTCCGCCTTTGCTCTTGTAATTAATTGATGTTTCAGATCTGCTGCCGACCCGACTCCCGAGAACTTGGCCAAGGCAGATGCCTGGGCGGATAGGGCTATTGCTGCCGTTCTACCTCGTATCTACCAAGGATTCGGTGTCGTTCAACTGATGGTTAGTAGCAAAAAATCTTCAATTCCATGTCTGAGTACTGAACTCTGGCCCTTACTGCAGACTCTATTACTGGCCCAGGCATACGAATTGAATCGTGGTAACTTCTCCTCAGCGTGGATTCTTGGTGGGAATTGCACCAGGCAAGTCACACCTCCTACAATACAATGAGACACTGCTAAACTGGACACCTAATTCCATTATAATCTCCAGATGATCCATTCAATACTGACTAACGGTGGACTTCTAGGATGATGCAGATGATGTCTCTTCAAACCTTTGACCGAACCTATCCCAGCTATCTCACGTCTGATTCCAACTCGAAACATCTGCCCCTGCTCTCTAGTGAGGCCCTACGGCGCGTCGCCTGGTCGACCTTCTACTTCGACACAATCATCGATGGTGGACGATACGGCTTCCACACCCTCGATGAAAAAGCATTCCGCCTACAGCTACCGTGCGATGAGGGTAGATTCCTAGGCAATGAGGCCATCATCACTGAACCCCTTCGCTACGATCAGACCGAGAAACCCGAAACGAGTACCCAGGCCCATCTAAAAGGCTCAGCACTCGGCATATCAGCCTATCTTATTAGAACGGCTGCTGCTAGGCGTCGGGCACTATTCTTTGCCTTTCGAGCATCCCACAAGGAGGACAGTGGGGAGAAACAGGTTGTTGAGCTGGCTACTCTGGAAGCAGAGATCGAGCATTTTGTATCTGCCCTGCCCAGGCGATTCCATCTTACCAACGACAACCTCTTCCTTCACCGCGAACGCCTAGGCACATTTATTCTTCTCCATGTCCTACGTCACAACCTCTTCATCATCGTCGGTCGAGCCTCTCTTCAAATTTTCCAACGTGACCTAAGCAAGTCCGATCTCATCCCACAGGTGAGGCAGAAGCGCATCTCTCACGCTTTACCTATTGCGAGCCTTCTCTCAGAGGCCTTAAAGGCCGGTATCGCACTAGATCCCCAACTGGGAGTTCATGCATATATTGCTTTAGAAAGTTGGTTGCCAGTCTCTTGGATCCATCATCTAGAGAAACCCTCACTAATAGCGCTTGAAATACTAGTTCTCCTCTTTGAGCCTCGTCGGCTAGCAGAAATAGATCCCTTGGTGGACCCAAAATCTCCACAGATTATGGAAGCTATCCCCCATTTACTTACTGTTCTTCGGAGTCTTTCTTTCCGGGCAGAGTTCGTGAAGCATCTTGTACGTATATCAATAACTTCCAAAGAAACGTCACTAAACTCCTCTTCTCGAAATAGTACGTTGAGGCCGTTCACCGTCTTCTACGATTTGAGTGCAACTACCTGCTTAGCCAGGAAGATATTGCCGCCTTCAGAAGGCAAGCTTCCCCCACCCCCATCTCAAAACACTTCGCTCTTTTTTTTTTTTGGACTTACAGCATGTCCATCATTGCTGACTGAGCGTGTGATGTTCTTAGTGAATACCGCATTCTGGGTCAAGAAACAGCCGAGCTTGACTTCCGCGAATTCCGCTGGGCAAAGATCGAACGACTACGTCGTGGTGCCAAGTACTCGGCCAACACAAACCGAGACGAAGACCTTCTTGAATATAATGTCGGTGGCGATACCGCAGCCCCCTCGGCAGCCCCTTCACCAAGGCTCGACGCGATCGATGTCAGCAGCTCCATGAGACGTTCCTCTGCAGCTCTTTTGCCAGCCTTTTCCGGTTTACCATCCACTTCTCATGAAGTGTCCGAGCCTCATCCAATGGATGCAAGTGCTGTAGCGCAAGCAGACCCCAAGTGGACAATACCTTCCAACATGATGACGGATAATGGGCAGGCTTTTCCTCTGGATTGGGCTTGGTTGCTTGAGGAGCCTGGGCATCAGTGGGATGAGACTGGCGACCCAACCATCTTTTGGAACCAGTTACAGCAACTATAGTGTGTGCGGCCTTTCTCAATACCGATCGTCTTCTCAAGATGTTTTATTAGACTGATACATGCTGCCATTTAAGTGAGCATGGTATATAAATGGTTTGGCTTGTCTGGAGTTGATATTCGCACTTGTCTTTCTAATTATCTCGTATTTGACACGAGCTGATGAATGTGTAAAATGGCTCTCTTGATCTAGAATTCGTATCCCGTCTCGTGGCAGTTTAAATGTTTACCATTCAGTGACGATCTCGTCTACATTGGTGACACATCGCAAAAATCGCTTGTTTGCCATCTGATGAGGTTTCCTTTAGCCTTTATCACTACGAAGTCAAAATCAATTGTATTCTCAACCAAAAAATTAAAATGTATCAATACACTCTTGTTGTCATGGGCAAAATAATCCCAAAGTCGCGGGCCTGCCGTATAAACAATTGTTTGGAACATGTAGTTTAGGGTAGGCCAGCCCTGGTACTGATGAGAGTTACAATTACCTCCTTGGAACCTAGCGGATGTAACTCTTTAACCGAGCCGTATTGAAATCAAGTCTCTGGAGCTTATTTTAGGCTTCATCTCATAAGGAGAGGATAAAGCAAAATTAGATGAAAAGTTTGAGACCATAACTGGTTTAATTTACTGTTTTGGCTATTATTGAGTTCTGGGGGCACTCTCTTTGTAATATCACTAAGATCCTTTACATTGGCGTACTTTGAACGAAGAGGATCCGTGGAGCACAAAAGCTGCCCAATGGTAAGGTTGTCGAGTGTCCATGTCCTGGCGAAGAGATAGAATTGCGTTCCGAGTGATGTGTGCTAAGTCCACAGCACCACTTACGTTATCCTTCATTTCAGACGCGAGCGCAGTATAGAATGCCTCGCTGAATTGTCGACCAGTTTGAGAGGCTGTGGGCCAGAGTGTTCCCAAAACAGAGCCTGCCCCTGCGCAGAGGAAGGCAGTCACCATTCCGAGGGGTTCATCACCTGCTGTTATGCCTTGTGACGCAGAATCACATGCCACGAGGGTGATGTGAGGTGTCTTCAACTTCATTTCGAAGACCTCACGCATTGTGAGCCTATCGTGAGCTAGCACAAGGGACTGGTCTGTTATCGAATTACGGTCGAGTATGCAGTGCCCGTGAAAGTGGAAAAGCGCCGATTGTTGGATAGCATCCGAAAGGAAGGACGTGGTCACATCGTGGCCGATTCCTCGCTCCGTGTTGAACATTTCAGCCACCTGGGAGATGGAAGAATATACCTTCTCTTGTTCAACTTCGTCAAATGCATTTATGCCTGGCTCGAAGACTCCTGTCATCGTCCAAGGCATACTCATTGGCGAGAATGAATCTGATACCAGCGCGGCCCGACGATGGCATTGCCAAAATGCTGTGAGGCTGGCACTATAAATTACCGGATGCCGCTCTATGACGGTAGTCCCGTTGCTGACCCATAAAGCATGTAAAGGAATAGAGTGCAGTACGCCTGTTGGACAAAAGATGAGGAGGTCCTCGCTTTTGCATAGTTGCTCCAGGGGTGAGACTAGGCCATCCAGGCTACGTAAACTAAACTCCGGTTCAGTTTCATCATAATAATTGTCTTCTTCAAACGCCGAAGGCATCCCAGCCTCGGCGTCAAGCCAATTTTGTTTCCAGGCTACCACCTCGTCGACGGAGAGGGGGCATTTCAGCATCTTCGGCAACTCAGAATTGCTGTTGAGAACCAAGATCCAGAGGCTCCCGGAATGCTCCAGCCAATCGATAAAGAGCACATTTTGGTTTGGGGATCGCCTCTCCATCTGCTCACCCAGCTCACGCATCTGTTTCAACTCGACAGGCGTACCCTTCCTTATATCCAAGGACAGTTTCAGCAGTGGGTCGTTCTTCATTTGTGAATGAACTCTGTCAAGCTCCCCCCGGAGTCTAAGTCGTGTCATCGGATCGCTGTCTGAAATCTGTTTCCATAGATCCTCTGCTCTCTGTGTCATCTCTCGTCTAGATGCATCCTGGTTTATTTGCTCTTGGATTACCAGTGGTATTTGGGTCTCTAGACCTAATTGATCCGACAAGCTTCGAGCTTTGGCCCTCTGGGTCCATTCCCATAAGTCAGCAACCCGATTTTCTATCAGGCAGATGCTGAAAGCATGTCGGTATATGTTTCTCAGCCCAGCAGAAGAGGAGGCAAAGTGTTGCCGGCGAGAGACAGCCTCCAGGCTTGAGGAAACAGTCATATCTGCTCTTTCCATCGTTTGAGCAACTTCTGCGTTTTGTAATGCCTTCAAGACATCATCACCTGTCACCCATCCGTATCCCCAACCTGCAAACAGAAATTTTGATCTGCAGTCGCTTGCAGAAGTGATGAATGTGAGATTATCCAAGAGAGTGAAAAGTTCGAGTGCAATTTCAATCAGCTCCAGACAGCGGGATAAAAGATCAACGGAGGGTGCGAATTGGAATCTGCGGAACAACACCACAGACTGGATTTGTCTCGTGTTTGCCGCCTCCATAAGTCTTTTGTGCGTCATGTACAAAGCAACTGCTTCCTCCAAGTACTTCAGAGCTTGATCCCACTGCTCTGGATCTGAGGCTTGGCCTATTTTAAAAGCAAGAATGGTGGCACGCTTCTGATACAGCCCTGCCCTCCGCATATCTGCTTCTTCAGAGTCGCTTGTCGCTAACTTTTTAATAACCCTTTCCATCGTTTCCAGCCAATGTTCAAGTTTTTCATCACTCAGCTCTTGTATGTTGTCTGTGATAGTCTCCATTTTAATCGCAGCTTGTTCAAGGAACCCATTCTCTAAATCATGTTCAATGGCACTCTCAACGAAAGAGAGGAATTCATCCAGACTCATTAAACCAGGGCGTTGTTTCCTGATACTGAGCTTCGCTTGCACAAGAGTAGTGGTGGCTTTAGATATATCAGCACTAAACTTGCCATCGAATTCTTCAATGGATTGATTTGCCCAGTCTGCTGCCTTCTGAAAATCCATCAGCTGGCAGTAGGCTAAAGACGCAAGATAGGCAGCCATGCCCTTTAGCCACCTGCAACCACCAACTCCCAATGCAGAATGAATACCAACAGTGGCATCGACAGCACGGACCGCCTTGCCCGAATGTGCAACCCATACACTAATGAGGCGGATGCGGCTGACATGGGAAGCTAGAGTTGCCCCCGTGAATACGTTTAGCTCGTCGCTCACATGGAAGAGTTGGAGCCGAAGATCAGGGGCCAGCGAGCCAGGGATATGCGGAATGATGGCTTCCACAGCTTCATGGTAGGCTGAGACGGCATCTGCCGCCTCGTACTTGGAGAAGAGCTCCTTTAACTCCGCCAGGACTTCTTCTGTGACTTTCTCAGGTCTCCCTTCAATCTCTCGGCTGATTTGCCGGATCCTAACATCTGCTACACCTAGCAAATGTGCTCCATCGGTATATATTGTTATGGCATTTGATTCCATGCCCGCAATTGTTGCCTGACCAATTGATTTGTCGGCATATCTGGACAGCAGAACCATGGCATCTGCCCTTAACAACTGCAAATCTGCGGACGATATGAGTGCCCTGGCCATCGCATGCCAAGTCTCAAAATCCAGACATGCGATGCCTACATGCTCCGATTGTCTGAGGAAGAGTCCGTAGGCTTCGAGTATTCTGTACGCTTCTCGATGGCGGCTCATCCCAATGAGCTTTTCAAACACAGGCACCAGCCATGAAATCAAGCCTTCTAGCAGGGCGGGCTTGACCGGATCATGGAACTGGCATGACAGAAGGCGGATCTTGGCATGAAACGCCGCTGCATCAATCTTGTATAGACATCCCGGACAGTCAGAAAGCTAAGCGAATGGCATGGCTCCAGAAAGGAAGACCTACAGCTGATGGGTCAAGTTCCATAATCGCCTCAAAGTCATCCGCCTCGATACGCAGATCCTCTGCATCTTGCAGCGGTCGGTCGAATTCAGCCGTTACGCTCATCCTGAGCAAACAAATCTCCATCTTCATTCGAATAATTGCCCACTTCGAACCAGGAGCGGCAGTTGGGCATCCTGAAAGCTTCTCATTTTCTTCCAAAAGTAGTTCTAAGGCTTTCGCGAAATAACCCTGTGCTCGAAGAACCCTGGCGTACTCGGTTACGACATCAAGTCGGTTGATTCCGGTGAGTGATTCTAGAGTCTTTTGAAGTAAGTCCCTAGCCTGTGTGTAATTAGCCTTATCGGAGTACGACCGGCTTTGCCTTAAGTTGGCTTCCGTAATTTGGGACGCCATGCTTCTGTTGGAACTTTGATGGTTGTTGTAAGAAATGAAAATCGATATTTCACGGAATCGAAGACGATTTTATAAGCTTGGTCTTTCAGCTGAGTTTGTGACCAATCAAATCATGGTTGAGGAGGCTTAGCTGAGACGCGTGATGTGGCAATGCCGTACAAGCCGGTACTCCCTCCCCTTATCGTCTGTGATATGTGACAGAGGAGCGGGGTAAAAAGAATCCAACGGTCCTTACCTTCGCTCGACGCATTTCCTGAATTGCCTCTGATACACGGATGCCTGCTAAGCTATCGATGCTCGCCGAGCCATGGAAGAAACTTCTGATTCGATACAGGAAGCCAAGGACGTGGCGGCGGCTCTGGATACCAGGGTGTGCCAGTTTGAGATCAATGGTGGTTCCATTTCACTCGGCCCTGGCGTTGAGCCACCCACCAAAGCAGCCCATGTTGAGCTATTCAGTTACGGCGTCATTGCTTCAGTCTCTTCCTTGACATATGGGACTTGGGAGAAAGATAACGCAGCGCTATTAATAATGGCGCTGAACTTCCGATCCCCGGACAGCGGGATTCTCAGGTTTACAAAGGCCGAGCTCTTAATAGATTTCGAAAAGCAGCGACCCGGGGATGGCTCCCCGGTCGTCCAACTCTGCCATCCCGAAAACAACAAAAACTCCGCTGCAAATGCAACAGCATCTGGCCTCTGGCCACCTGCGGCTTATTCAATCAAAGGTCGCAGTTGGTCAAAACCGTCACAGGAAGAACCACACCAGGTATTTTGGGAGATCTCAATTCCGCGCGGCAGCTCAGCGGACATCAACAATAATTCAATCCCTCTGTGCACTATAGTGAGTTTTCGGGGATCTTTTATGGCCACGGTTAGGTTGAAAGCTACCACTGCTCTAAAATTCAGGCTCGAAAGCTTCCCTTGGTCGAAAAAGGACCCCATGTTGTTCAATGGCCACACTTTCAAGGGCAAACAGTTTTCCAACACCAAATTTGCCGAACTTGAGAGAGAACAGATCGAAGAACATTTGCCTCGAAAGTATCCGAAGCCAGTAAGTTCACCTTGAATGAATAGAAGAATGTTCCTGACAGTTGCTAGGGCAATGGACCAACACCAATACCAGGGACTGTCTATCGAATTCACGGTATTCCCATCTCTTACACGACTGATATGTTTTTCGAACTACTGTCTAAAGATTTAAATATCCCCTCCGCTTCGATTCAAATCAAGTCTTTCTCGAGAAACCCGAACCACGAAGAGATAACGGCTCTGGTGTCATTCACGACATTTCCGACGAAGCTCAAGCGTACACCGTCAGATCGATGGCGAATTTCTGTGCCATTGACAGAATTGTCAAAAAATGAGGAGATACATGCGAGCCCTCCTTCATCAGTATCGAGCCCAAGTCTTGATCTACATTTTGATACCAATTTCCTTGGATTCACAAATCTCAGTCCGTTTTCTGAGGATCCTTTCAACATTGAGTAAGTCTTATTCGTTCCGGATACTGATAATGACGTGTTACCATGTATTGATCAATGAATTTTGCTTACAGCATCGTCGCGGTACATGGTCTCGGTGGTCACGCCTACGGGTCTTTCAAGCAGCGAGGGGGGCCTTACATGTGGTTGAGCGACTCATTATACAATGACCTACGCAAGATTGCACGACCGGAAGAGTTTCCACAGGGCATCAGACCAAGGATCCTTCTATATGGACACGACTCTCACATAGACCAAAGCCCAACATTCCAGTCCTTGGAGGATCTGGCCATTGATCTCAAACTTTTGCTTCGTGGGATACGCGCAAAGGATTCAACCAGGCCACTGATTCTTATCGGCCATAGTCTTGGTGGCCTTCTCATCAAACAACTTTTGATACAGTGGGCAATAGAAGAGGGCAGCGGCACTGACAAGTCAAGCCTTGAGGCCACCATTGGGCTACTGCTGTTTGGAGTTCCCAATCGCGGGATGGACATCACCGCCCTATTATCAATTGCTGGGGAACAGCCAAATGCTGAGTTTATATCTTCGTTGGGGATCGGTTCTTCCGTCCTAGAAGAGCAGTCAAAGACATTCCCTACACTTTGCAATTCCACCAAGATGCGCACATATTCTTTTTACGAAACATGTCTATCAAACACAGCAACAATGGTACGTTAACGACTAGCCTCATTTGAGACATTGCCCCTTTCTCGTAATGTCACTGACATCTCTGTCAACAAACAGATCAATGGAAAGCTGAGTATAACTGGGAAGCCAGTAGTCTTGGTCGACAAGGCGTCTGCAACTCATGGGCGACCGTGGGAGATGAACAATCAATTCATCATTCCACTCCAGCGCACCCACTCTGATTTGGTTAAATTTGATTCTAAATACAGCCACGACTATGAGAAGGTTCGAGGTTGTTTTAATGAAATCCTCGGGCCAGGAAAGAGCACGAGTGCTAAGGCACTTCCTCTGCAGTAATTTAATAATATATATTTAAATGAAGAGTGATTAATAACTATTAAACTTATCTCTAAATACTAGAACTGGAATCCCTGGAGGTTCTAGCTCTAATTAGAATAGATATAAGTATAGAATAGAAAGTCTTTTCTCCGTAGACTAGTGATCCTAAATTACCCCTTATAGCCAGATAGAGTGTTCAGAAGCTATTAACTATCTGCTGAAGGGGCTGAAAGGTAGCGTCTATAGCAATCGCTTGTCCGCTCGAGAGACAGATAGGTGAGGCCCGCAGCGATCGTCTGTCAAAGAGAGAGACAGAGAGGCTGTGGCCTGCCGCTCCAGCTGTCCGTCGGAGAGACCAAAGGGCCGCGTTTGATAGTATCTGTGTCTCTTTCCATTCAAACCTACCGTACCCTACCGCTCTCTCGTGCCTCCTCATCTTCTGACCGTCCACGTTTAGGAACCCTAGTCTCGCTGAGCAAATGTTTCGCATACGCCGCCGCCGTAGCGGCCGCATATTCCTGCCAGTCGTCATTCTTATGCACATCGCAGTAATCGCAGATACCGCGAATCACGAGGCACGGAAACGTATTGACCACGCCAGCGGCTTCCATTTCGACACACATCACGGGCTGCTCGCGAGCTAGGTCGTCGCGGAACGCTGCATCTTTAACAACGCAGTTTCCTGACGCCACGAGTCCGAAGTGAACCATCGGCTTGTTGGTCGGCCGCGGGCCGCGCTGTCGTACATGAGATCCCCCTCTAGGGCAGTCATTTTGTGATGATGGACACGTTGAACAGGTTTCGAACAGCTTATCGAGCTCCTGTCCTGGATGGCGGTATTTGTGAGGCTTCCCATCATCGGTCGGGGGAATTGTTGAGGAGATTTTGTCGAGATGTTCGCGTAGTGGATCGTCCGTCGGCTTCGGATCGGATTGCAAGAAGCTGATGGCATTGGTGAGGCTGTCTGGAGGGCCTTGGCACCAACCCGTTCGCTCGAAGCCGCTGCTCCCTTTCTCTTTGCCGAAATCGTGCTGAAATACTCCGGAGTAGATGCCTTGGGGAATGCCGACGACCACGTCACCAAGGCGAATGTCGTTCTGCTCTGAGGGCACACCGCCACCGATGCCAACTAAGAGGCAGAATTGAAGGCCGCTGAAGCTGCGTTTCATGTTCAATGCCAGTTTAGCGGCTTGGGTGATCCCATACCCGCTGGTAGGGAGACATGCGGCTACGACCATGTGCCGCGCCATTTGGCCGGCCGCATAATAACAATCATCCCCGTCTGGTGTCTCGGGCGTGGCGTTGGGGGTGTCAAACAGAGCCCGTACTGCCTTCAACTCTTTCGATAAAGCGCAAATGATCCCGACAGTGTAACGATATCGGGGATATCTTTTCGCCGTAGTGTTTGTTTGGACGTCACTCGAATACGTTGTCAGAGTTGAACCAATACCGCTGTCACTAGGTGAACCCGGGCCTTCGAGGTTGCATTTCTTTGGATGACCTGCGTCCTCCCAGACCCACGAGAAATCGGCGTTATGTCCAAAAATGAGAGCTCCTTTATCTTCTGCGGGTCCAAGTATCAATTGTCGTCTGTTTGAACGACGTGACTCTTCAGGTAACTCGCTAGAAAGTGCCAACGGGAAAACCGTTTGTACTGGATCGCAACCGCCCTGATTTGAGGCACCGCTGCATTGACAAGACTCGAAGATAGTCTTTGGAGTATGCCATATTAGGCTATCGCTGAGCCGAATGCGGCCATCGTCGTGAAAGCCATGCTTTTTGACCACCCTGCTGAAATCGGAGACGCACATTGCGATGTAATATTGGTGTTTTGGCAGCTTGGCCCAGTCACTGCAAATATCCGGGTTATTCGGCTGGATAATATCGCCAAAGCCACTGCCAACTAACGTGACAGCTTGAATGGCTCTCGTGAAGTCAACCCATGCTTTGCCGTGCGCCTTCAGTTTTGCCGCGCGAGAAGGCAACCGGTCGATCCTCATTGCCAGGTCCTCGAAGTCCCAGCCCTCAAGACACGTTCTCGGCATGCTACTCATTTTCACGCCGTAATTTCCCGCAATGTCCGCCTGATGGTCGATGAGTTTCTCCAACACGTTGCAGAAATACTCAACCCGGCTCCTAAGAAGAGAATTCTTATCCTTGCGAAACAGGGCAAGGTCCAGGTTCTCAGGTATGTTCAGCAGGTCAATGGAAGAGTTGGCCATGAAGGGTCCATCCGGTACTTGCAGGTCCTTGCTTTTAAAAGCCCATGAAGATCGAAATTTGGTCCCATCATGTGCCAAAGATGCTCGTACAACATGCAATAGAGCACTCGTACCATTAATGAGCCAACCACGTTTGTCGTGCTCATCCCAGAGGAGGACGAACTTGGTGGATATCCAGTTCAGCCGCTCGTGGTAAGGATCATGAGTTTCTCGAACGGGTGTATCCTTAGCACCTAATTGGCAGGACGACTCTTCGATGGTCTGCCCCCGATACACATAAGTGTTGGTGAGCGCACCCCCTTTCCGTGGTTCGGGAAGGCATGAATGGGCGACGGGAGGGTAATCTGCTAAGGTCGAACCTGTCAAGAGGCCTATGTCAGGAACAATTGGATGCATTGATAAGAGGGATGAGAGAGAGCGGGCCTTACCAGCATTGAATTGGACCTTCGAGCACCATCCCAAGACATGGCGAATGTTTTCTAGGGATTCTAGTTTGCAGTGAGTAAACTGCGGATTTTGGTCTATAAAATCATCCAGATAAGATATCCGACCCCCGTTCCTATTATAAATTAAATGCCAGTAAAGAATATCTTGATTCTGCCGGGTCGGAACCAACATCGTTGAGAAGCCCTTGATGTAGACCTTGTCTTTAAACCTATCGACTTGTTGCGACCGAGCTAGTCTCGCCATAATATTGATAGGAATCTCCAGGCCGGTAGCCCACTCCATTCGCTTGGGAATGGGATATCCCCTTACGACAACTGGGTTCTTGAAAAAATCATGCCAGCACTGGCCATTAATAGTGCCGGGGGCTTGCGGTACCTCTTCTGTTGTAAACTCGATTCTGCAAGTGAGATCGATCGATGATGACTGAAATCCGACCTGAGGCGATGGCGTGTTGTTCTGGACAATCTTACTGATGATCGGCGTGCAGTAGACGAGCTTGTTCTGTCTTGTCGAAGTTGTTAAAGCGGCTCCAAGCCAGGCAAGCTGTTCTCCAGTCTCTGCAACAGAATCAGACACACCATAAGCTTCGGCAATGAACCTCGAATTGCTGATCCACGCGCTGAGCTTCGTTCCGTCGGCTAACACAGCTAAAGGAGATTTAGAATCATATAACAGATGGATCACCATGAAGCCAGGCACTTACAAGAATGACATTTTCCGTCTCTGAGTATATCCTTGACCAATTGTAGAGTGGCCTCCCCTGCCAACGGCCAAGTCTGGTGCATGTACTGAGCACAAGTTGCCGCCTGCGCGTCCAAACAAGACCCCGTCAAAGTGATGACACCTTCAAGCACCTCATCCGGCGGCTTTAAATACTTCTGTGCCTTGAAAAATTGAAATATGTCCCACTCGAGGTCAAATCTCACACTGTAGGTGTAAGAAGGTAGTTTCCTACTAATCTTGTGAGGTATAGGGAGTGATGATATAATCCTTTCTCTAATTACTTGGATGGTGTTCGGTTCCGTATGAACGAGATTAATTTCCTTCCGCAAGCGTGCCAGTAGCCATTTGAAAGCATCAGTGCTGAAGACGAACTCTCGGTATGCATTGAGCCAATTGTCAGGCTCAGGCTCAGGCTCAGGCTCAGGCTCAGACTCGTCCTCATCCTCCGCATCTCCCACACCCACGAATGTGGGAGTCGCGGAGGATGACATCTGACACTCTTCCTCCTGTCCGGCTTCTTCAATGCTTTCGTCCCTAAGCCAACGGCTTACGCGCTCCTCTGGGCCCATTGCATTCGAATCGGGCGTGCTTTGCTCGATGTTATCTTCCTCGTTTATAATCCCCATATCTGTAAAGGCCGCGGCAATTTCACTAACGCGTACAGCTGTCAGAATATCACGCGGGCCACGAGAACAATCAACCTGGAGTGGGTCAATGGGTTTACTCGCCGTCTATGCCTATGCACAAAAGCCATAACATCCCGATGCATTTGGGTCGGGGCATCATGCCCAATCTTCAGTGCAAAGGCTTTGAGCAGCTCGGGCAGAATCGCCGAGACCTTTCCTTGTGTCTTTTCGTCCGCATTCAACGAGCCGATCCTCCTGAACAAGTCGTCTGCCAGCTCCCATATGTAAGTCTGCTGCCTCGAAAACATCGCGCTGGATGTGTTCGAATACTCTGTAGCCGTGTCACTAACGTCTTGCTCGGTCCGCTCCTGCATAGACTGTGTAGCAGCCTGGTCGCCATGATTTTCCGACTTGTTAATCTCGCTCTCCATCCCTGGCGCGGACGCGTATCCCGAGTCTGTGGGAGGCGCCAGCGTGGGATCGAGTCGCCGGCCTGGGTGGCAGTTCTTGACATGCTCTTTCACTTCTGCGTCCGTCCAGAAATTACTAGATGGTGCCAAAGAGCAGTTCGGTAGTATTGGGCAGTGCAAGAGCTGTGAGGTCCCCTCGTCTCTCCTAAAATGAACCTTCTCGTCTCTCTGCATATCATTCTGCCTCGCCTCGTGGCTCTTTTCTAGGGCCTCTAATAGTAGTGTCGATCCAAACGCATCACTAGCATTGACTTCAGCTCCCTTGTCGATAAGAAGCCTCGCCAACGCCTCGTGAGCATTCTGTAAGGCCAATGAAAGTGGTGTGATCCCATCATTATCTCTGGCATTAATGTTGGCTCCCTTGTCGATCAGAAGCCTCGTCACCGTCTCGTGACCATTCCGTGAGGCCAATGAAAGTGGTGTGAACCCACTATTATCTCTGGCGTTGACATCGGCTCCCTTCTCGATGAGAAGCCTCGCCACAGCCTCATGGCCATTCTCTGAAGCCCGTGAAAGTGACGTTTGCCCCCCCCTATCCACGTCATTAACGGTCGTTACTGTCTGTAGAAGCAGCTTGACAATGCCCACCCGACCATCCTGGGCAGCCCAAGATAGCGGTGTTCGATTTTTGTATCTTTTCAAGTCTTCTCTGCAATTCAGACCTTCTGTAATATCGACTCCGTTACAGATGCTCGAGGGCGAATTCAGAAGAGCAGCAACAGCATCTTTGTTACCGTTGGCCAAAGCGGCAAACAATGGGTACCCGTATCGCTCTCCAAGAACATGAACATGCGGATCATCTTCGAGTCTTGTGCGGATGAGCTCCGAGAATCCTTTGTCTGCGAGAAGATAGAAGAGACTTGCATCCGGGCTGTATTGACGAATTTTGAACTTTTCAAAAAGATTGATGAGGCTGATCCAGTTGGAAACGGGAAACCGAGATAGAAAGTGGTCTTGAGGAACCGCATCCGCCGCAGCGTTGGCATGGTAGAGAACATTCTGACTGGCATACTCCAAAAAAGGATACCACTTTGATATTTCCGTAGTTTTCAATTTTATCCCATTCATAGATGCATGCAGCAATTGATGATTCATATATGAGTCGCAAAATTCTTTGAGCCTGTTATGGTTTCGGCTCTTTCGGTTCTTCCGGTTAAATCCAAGATCAGGCCACAACTCATGGAGACCACCATCTTTGAGGAGAAAATCTCGTACGGATTCGTGTATGAATTGCACGGTTGGTTGCTTGGCTTTCGTGATTTTAGCGAGTCCCTTCGAAGAGCTGATGATATATCTTGCGAAGATGTCACTGCCTTCAGAGTCGGTAATAATCGGGATTTCAGGGTCGGCAAGATTCTTCAGGGACAATCCAGACCATAGTGCGTGATAGTACTCCTCTGGTCTCAATGGCCGCTTTGCGTAGAGGATCCAGAGGATACAGAGCAGTAGCTCCTCCATGTTCTTGTTGTCCCTCCTTAACAGGTCCTTGAAAAGTTCATTCAAGCTACTCGGAGTTTCCACCAGTCTCTTTCTTATAGCTATTCGACCTCGTTCGCTTTCTTTGTTAAGAATGTCGACAACTAGGACGACCCAGAGAAAAATCCCACCGGCTTTGCTGACTAGTTTGGGCTGCAGCTCCTCGACAAGCGTCCGGTCTGTGATTCGGAGGTGACTTGCGACGTACTGCGCCAGGTCTTCGGTATGACCTGGCTGATCCTCCAGTATCAGCTGGTTCCCCTGTTGAATGACGATATGGGGATTATGTTGACTAGAGAAACAGACCCGGAGCGGGACGCCCTTGTCCAAGGATTGCTCTGCAAGCCCTTCAAAATATTGGACCGTGTCCATAGCTTGTTGTTCATTACACTCGTCGAGAGCATCGATGAAGCAGGTAAATGAGCGTTGACCAAGGGCGGAAACTGCGTTGCGAAAGAGGTCCTTGAGCACATTCAAGGAAGGGCAACCACTCTGACTCTGAGAAACAAGGTCTGGATCGTCCAAGACTGTCTGGAGATCGGGGTACCCTTCAAGCAGCTGGAGTAGCAGAGATCGGTACATCCCTAAAATTGACCTTTCCAAGTATTCGCCTCGGGCGTTGAAGAAAAAGCCAGCAGTGATAGCAGGCTTATGGCGAGCTTTGCTCTGCATGTATGCGAACTTCATGATTATCGACTTACCAGCACCTGGCTTGCCCATGATCCACAAAAAGCCGCTATGTTCTCTTACTTTTCCGGGATCAAGCCATGCCTGGTGGTCGGGGTGGTTGAGAAACCATTGACACGTTTTACCGTGGGGCTTTTCGATGGTTGATTGACGAGAATCGATTTGCTCAAATTTGAGGGACTTCAGCAAGCCCTGCCGGTGTTCGTGCGATGAACTTGGGTCTAAACATCTAGAGTGAGCAGCAGTGACTCGAAGTTGTACTCAAGACTACTAGGCTAGCTTACGGGGATTGGGTATGCAATCAATTCCTGCATGCACTTTGGCCACGGGAAGCTCCTCGAGAAGTTCCCTTGCGTATGCAGCCGCGGTCGCTGCGGCAAACTTCTGCCATTCTTTGCCCTTGTGAGAATCCGAGTAGTCGCAGATTCCTCGAATTGGGAGATAAGGCATATTGTTCATTAGATCAGCAGTCTCCGTTTCGAAACATATAACATCGAGTTGTCGAGCAAGTTCGTCCCGGGTAGTGCCGCTTCTCATGACTTGGTTCCCTGAGGCGATCCCGCCATAATGGATCTGCACATTATCCGATATCCGTCTTCTTCGTGGCGCCAGCATCGAACGGTCGCATCCGTCACAGCTAGCTATTGGAGATTCATGATCATATGTCGCGTAGAAGAGGCGATCTGGCGAGCTCGGGCGACCGTGCTCGGGGAGTCCTCCCAGCTTCTCCTGTAAGATAGATGGGACTCGACTGGGCTCCAGCTCGTGTTTGGAACGGAGGGCAGACACGGCTGTCCCGAGAAACTGGTCAAGAATCTTAGGAATGGCTGTTTCCTGGACGTTATCGGTTTTCTTAAGGTCATACAGCATCACCCTTGTTCCGACGACGATATCACCCAAACGCACATCAACCTGACTTGGGACGCCACCACCTATCCCCACCGTCAAACACAGCCGGATCGATGGGAAGGTATACATTAGATGGTTTAATACGCTTGACGCGTTATTCGTTCCGTATTGGGCAGCTGGCAGGCATGTAATAATGATATTGTGGTGGTTGATACTTCCCAGTGTATAGGTATTACTATCATTCGCACTTTGAGGCAGGGGATCGTGAATGTCGTCTAGCATGGCCCAAGCTGTTTCCAGCTCTATATGCAGCGCGCAGATCCAGGCGATGCTGTAATGGTCATGTTGTATGGAGGTCGAGCCCTTTCGCGACTCATGAACCACATTGCCCAGGTCATGGTTGGAAGCCTTTCGTCGCTTTGGAGGGCGGGACGAGCTTGTTTCAGCATGGTCCTTGTGCCGAAAACTTCTCTTATCCATCTCAGTAGGATATCAATCTAGCTACGATTAACAGGCCCGACTTTGCTTGCCGTGTAAACGTCGGTAGGGGTGAATATTGCCCAATAGCTGGAGGGAAGGTGTCCAGTGAAGGGTGATTAACACAGAGATATTCGGCTAATTCGCACCTGGCCTTAGTTGGAAGCAGAGGGCGAGAGAAGATCGAAAGCAGGGCTAAGCGGGAAGAAACGGCTGGGTTGGGCTCCCACAATCATCTACATCATATCAGCACCGTTGGACCTCATTGACGCTCCAGCGCTGCGCATGTGACCTCCCCGCACAAGGCAACTGCAGTGGCCGCCGGTGGTTCGCAATGCCTTGTGGTCTCTAGCTTTGACCAATCGAAATTGGGGTCGGCCACCGTGTTGCATTACTGAAAAATGAGATATGATTATTGGGTTTATCCCTCAAGACATAACCCGTAGGGTGGGATGGAGCGGATTTACCGCTGTCCCAATGGTCAGGACGCAGTTGTATTGAGACCTAGGCAGTAGAGGTTTATCAATGTTAGAGTTCCATTTTTGGCTTTAGGATAAAAAGTGCCCCTTGTTAAAATCCACCTTTTATAAATAAAGAGATATCAAGGTAAATGAAGGTTCTTAAGATAGAAAACCGTATGTCCTATCATATCTAGAAGAAATACTTTTCTTATTAGGTTTCTATAACTAGTTTATCTATTCTAATTCCCTATAATTATATTCAAGCTTTAATCTCTATATCAGTTAGATCCTTCTTCGTAGATGTCGCTGTCACTATTATTTTTTGGGTTAGTATAAGTCTTAAGATCTATCATTGACCGTTGTCAATAGCAGATAACTTACAATTTCTCGTCGAAGCGTTCCCTTCCTTCGGCGTCATGTTTGACCCATACGCTCACGCTACATTGTCCGCAAGGGAATGTTGCGAAGCCATCATCACCGATGATGATTTCATCGTTGCTCCAGCCTAGGACATCAGTCCACTTCTCGCCTGCGTGCATCTCACCGACATGCATTCTCTTCTCGCCAGGGCCGGCGTTGCTAATGACAACTGCGCAACCAGCCGGACGATCGTGGGTTCCATATCGAACCCAGCCAAGGCATGTAGCATAGTCAAAGTAATCGGCCTGCTTCCCGTAAGAGTAGAGCTTGCGCGCAAGCAATAATTTGGGCAGTGCCCCGCCACATGATGGTGGAAACGGGTGCTCGCCCTTGATGCCATACAGATCACCGTACCATACGCAGGGGTAGCCTTCGTTTCGTAGTAGGATCAGCGAGTAAGCTAGAGGCTTGAACCAGTCGGCGATTTGCACCTCGAGGGCTTGGTAGGGCTGCGTATCGTGGTTCATCACAAGCGTAACTGCGTTGATTGGCATGCTCTGGACCAGCGTGTCGTCAAAAACCTTCCGCATGTCAGCACCATCGCCCTGGCTAATCTCGCTAAAGTTGTAGACCAGAGGTGCGTCGAAGAGGGTAAACTTTCTTCCCATCCGCTCGAGATAGTTCTTCATGTCATCGAGACTGTCCTTCCAGAACTCCCCGACAAAGAACCAATTTCGGCCAAAGGACTCGTCCATATTAGTGATGAACTTGCGCAGAAACTCCTCACTATAGTGCTTTATGGCGTCGAACCTCATGCCTTTGAGGGGAATTGTTTCAGCGATCCACTTGCCCCATGCCAACACGTCTGCTTCGACTTCAGGGTGAGCGTAGTCGAGATCAGAGCCCATTAGAAAGTCGCTGAGTCAATTAGCACAAGAAGATTCCATCAGCTTTTGCACCACGTACTAGTTTCCCTTCTCATCGTCCACATCCGGTACGTCAGCCCAGCCAGTCGACTTGTCACCTACAATCTTGTAGATTGCAGTCTTCTCGTTGGCTGCATTGTAGTCGACACCACCAAAGTGGTACCAGTGGTATTTCTGCTTGCTATACTTTTCACCTCTGCCAGGAAATGTGAAGCCAACCCAGGCCTCAATCTCATACTGATCACTGACGGTCTTGTTTCGGTCGTTTTCGTCGACCTCGACCGCCTGACACTTCTCCTTGCGATCGGCGGCGAACCTGTGGTTCAGAACTGCATCCCAATAAATACCCACGTCATTCTTTTTGGCTGTGTCGCACAGTTTCACCAGTTCCTCCTTGCTTCCCCATTTCGTGGCTACCGAACCCTTCTGGTCGAATTCGCCCAAGTCGTATCTATCTTACTTGTCAGAAGGCGGCACGGCGCATCAAGACATAGGAGCACATGCAGGTCATAGATATCATATCCGTTTCCTTCCTTTGACGAGGCCTTGCAGCTACACCATTTGTCAGTCGAGGTGCCGCTAGAAGGGCGCAATTCACTTACCCAGGTGGAACCCATATGTTGTCAACTCCCCAGTGTTTGAGTTGCGGAATGTGCTTCTCGAGACGGACCCAGTGCTTCTGATCTGCAGGAACATACCACTCAAATCCTTGCATCATCGTCTTGTTCTCCGGAGTTGGGTCTTGTTCCGCCATTTTGATAATTATTGCCTAAGAGCCTAGGGTTCACACAACTGTGTTTTTTTTTTTTTTGGCTAACTTCACGACACTTATCGCTTGATCATGTTATAAATACTCAGCACTACACAAAGGTAGCGGGTGGAGCAGACTGCAGTAGATCGTCATCGGGCTCTGGTAGAGTCTAGACTCTTGGTCTTGAAGGATCCACCCGTGCCTAGAAAGTTGGCACAGCAGGTTTCCATTGGTCATCCGTGAATTCTTATCTCAATAACACGGCTGCTAGGAACTAATTCCCGCATGTGTGACGACAAGAAAACCTGGTAAGAGTGGGCGGTCAATGGCGTGTCAGCCGCAACTAGTCCTAGTCTCTGAATGGCATAACCGGCTGCCTGGAGCTGCGAAATTCCCACTCATACGTCATTGATTATGAAATATACCAACCAGAAGGTGCAAATCACTGGTGATTCTTTGTTCAACTATTTGGACGGAGAGAACAGGAGAACGAGGGGGGATCATGAGATACGGTTCTACTGTGGCGTACCAACTTGGAGAAATGCTTTGAAGCTAGTTGGCTAGATTCTTGAGAAGGCTAACGGATGGCAAAGAAGGTTTGAGGCTCTAACATGTTCATTCTGTTTAGCACCAAGCGAGTTTGTGCTACCAACAAGGTCCGGGATGACGCGGGTGTATAATCCTTCAGCTGTGATGGCTGTCAGGATGCATGTGATCTAGAGTATACTGCACGAAGCCATACACCACCCAATTGATTGGGTCAAAACAGGGGGCGCATCACCTCAACGGCACGGCAGGCTAGCCCAAATTTTATGAGCCACATCTACTCCACTCACGCCTATTTCGCAGTGGCGTCCAAGGTCGTTCTATTGAGTGACTCATGTCAGATCTTGATGTTGTGTTTGAGGGTCTTGAGATGAGATTGCCCCATACAGGGCGTATGTGGCAAGTCCATTGTGGACATCGTCGCTTGATATCAACACTTCTTTGGAGTTGTGTTTCTGAGAAATCCCGTCTCTGAGTCTGTTGTTTGACTTCCTGATTGGATGGGCTCTCATTTGATGATCATTCATTTGGCTGAGTAGAATGCAGTTGGCATGAAATGTTTAAACCGCTGTTTTTGGGCTGTATCGGCTCTGGCTTGCCCGTTCTGATCTAATGAGCGTCATTGTCAAAAATGGAAATTGAGCAAAGCAAAAGGAAAAACAGAGAAAGGTAGGAAAACGAAGATAAATGCTATACACAAGCTCTTTAAATAGCGGGTTGACCTAGTGCGACCATTAAGCGACAGAACCCAGAGCTGACATCGATATGCTTGTCATGCCGTGCAGTCATTATACTCCCATACTCTTTAGAGCCCTGCTCGCTTCCTGTCCATGCTACCCACTCGAAACACGAGCTTGTTAGTTTTTTTATTATAATGAGCGATGGCCTTAATAACAGCAATTGGATTTATAAAGCGATGAAATACAATTTCATTCTGCATCAATATTCTTGCTATGCTCATCAAATACTACCTTATACTTACGTGGCGACTAAAACAAGTCTCTTGTAGGGTCCTGCTCGTCAAGTTCACTTTCAATATCGGCTAGCAACTTTTGATTCCAGCCTCTAAGGGGCCAAATAAATACCATCAAACACACTCGAAGAGACAAAGTGGTATGCTAGGGTTGCTAGTTCTAATGTCGCTTACAACCCTGCCTGGGACAAAAAAGGGCTAAGGCAAGACTGCACCAACTTCAATAGGAGGGCCAGCATATGCAATTTGCACAACTCAGACCTAAGTACCGCGATTGCTTCATCGCAGTCGGACATACTGTCATACGATGTCTTCTCGGAGGATATGCGACGAAGGTGCGAAAAGGCAGATAACGCATCAGTACATTACGGAGGTGAGTCCTTGAGCGATGGTCTCCTTCGTAACTAGTCAGCGCTCAATTCTGCATTCATTATCGAATCACGAGAGATACGAGTGTGTAAGAGGATCAACTCGCATAAGCTAAACACTGGCTCGAGCAGAGCCAACCTTGTGTGGTATGAAAGGTCGCTTCAATCCCTTTAGTCACAGGAAAAGGCTCCATAATCCTCGAGATGGGCGTAACGTTGGCTCCTCCCTCGCTAGGAGACCACTTAGCATCGGTAAAACAGTACAACGGTAACATTGGGCAGCAGAGCGATGGTACGCACACCAAGTGAGGTACGCGCACCGAGTGAGGTACGCGCTACCGCCCATTCGAAATCAAGCAGGCTTTATGCAAATCAGCGAGTGAAAGAACGCCTGCATCACATAGATACCCGTGAGCATAGCGTTTCCAGGGGGAGATCATCCTCCACACGTAGTGGGCTGCAGGGTTGACCAAGGACGACCATTGAGCACCTATAGGGAGAAGTCGCCCTTTGAATGCTCATAAAGACGCGAAGAAGAAGATCAAGGTGGGGATTCTGCAGAGAAAAGGATGGACCGAGCCAAGCTAGTGCGATTGAGCGGCTCGGATGAAAGGAAGGAAAGGGGTATTGGAAACAAAACACGAGAAGCGAATACTCGTACTCAGTTGCCGACCTACCAGGGAGACCTTACATAATTCTTGGTAGATCCGCCGTCCGCCGTCAAACGGTGCAAATAACCACTTTAATTATTAGAGCTAATCATTACCCAGGGAAGTTATTAAATAGCCTTTCAGAAATTGTATCTTTCGAATATGATCTCAGGGAAGCTGATATGCTGGACATGAGAACGAAGATATGGTCGAAGGACAATAATGAACAGCCGATATTCAATGCAATGGCCTCCGGCGAGTGATTGCAACTAAAAGGCAAGCATAGGACGAGCGTAGGTAATATTTGAAGAATTAGTTGTATTAGGTTTCATTGTTGCATAAATCTTCATTTTGACTATTTTTTACACTCGTATTTTATATTCGATTATAATATACATCATTTACTAAGACTTGAAGACTTAATAAATAGTGAAATATACAATTACTCAAGGCCTTACCATGTAGTTGGTAAGAAGTAGAGATAGTTCTCTATATAAATCTAGAGCCTGGGGCTGATATGCGCGGGACCAGGTGGAGGTTATACCAGGCTGCTTTAACGCCTGGGGGCCTCATTCGGCGGTGATCCGGAATACGATACGGTAATGACATCAGTCCTAGTGATGGCATTGCGCGCAGCTTCCGGTACCACGATGGGCTTCGCGGGGCCAGCCGCGACGACGTTGGGTTTAGTCCCGCTGAGGATTTCTTCCTGGCTCCCACCCTCTTCCAAGACAGTCAATCCAAGGTCATCTCTGGCCTTGGACTTTGGCTTGCGCTGTCCTAGCTCGTAGCCCGACTTCTGATCGCTGTAATCTTCGTAATATCGCCCGTTGTACTTCGCTGAATCTTTCCCACTGGAGAAGGGGTTGCGGCGGAGGACTTTCTCGACGAGAGGTTGGAGGATAGGGATCGTCGAGGCAACAATGATTGTGCTTCCTTCGATACTGTAATGAGGTCATTAGCAATTTGTCACAGTAGAAGTAGCAAGATGAGAACAATAACTTACACCGTCCAGGCAACCAAGTCGGCAGTATCATCTATAGGTACGAACGCGATAATTAGATTGAGACCAGAATTTGGGGGTAAGGGTGTATACAAGGTACTCACAAGAAAAGTCTGCAGATTTCAGAGAAGGAATCCGTGTTGTCTTGTAGATTGCTACAATGCCAGACCTGCAATGGAATTAGTACATCCTCAAAGTACCTATATTACACTCGATCGTCACCTACACTGAACCGATGCCGAGAGCACATGAAAGCGCGAGCTTCTTCTTGAATGACATTTGCAAGTTGAACAAGACGACCGCAGGATAGATAGCAAGGTATAGATCGACAAAGGCAGAGAAAGCTTGGTAAGAGGTAAATGTTAGCTCTATGGATATGGAACGACGCAAATGGATCTCGGTCAAGACTCACAGCCAGCGTAGATGCAGTATGCGACCAGGATATCTGGCGAGAAGCATTCTCCCGGAACATCAAAGTTCCAAAGTGAATGCGCCGGCTTGCATCGCCCAATCAAGACGCCCACAGTTGCAAAGAGCGTCAGTTGGCACCAAATGCCTTGCCACCAAAGAAAGTACTTGTGCCACTTGTTGGGGTTCAGCAGCTTGGTCAGGAGGTAAACGACGGCCATCTTTGGCAGTCCAAATGACATGACGCCAGGGCAAAAGGCCGCCGTCGTCCACAGTATCGCGCTCTCCTGCTCATGTTGCGACAGAAGCTTCATGTGCCTACCGTTTCCAGAAGCCACCGCCTTCATCGATAACGCAGTCGAAATGTAGCCGCAAACCTAATTGTCGCATTCGTTTGGGTCAGTGTCATCCGCTTCTCGACTTGGTAACATGCGCCGATGGGTCGATATGCAGGTGCCCATCTCAGATCGGTTCGTCCGGACTTACCAATGCGATGACAGTCCAGTAATCATCCTGCTGAAGCTTCCTCATAATCCATCCTCGCACATACAATCGAGCGAAGACGAACAATGTCGCGACCGCTGTCACCACCCAGCAGGTGATGACAATCCAAGGCCCTTTGTTCTCTGCAGCCCACGCCGCACTGCCCTCCTGTGCCATGATTTCGAGTTATGGATTGGCCGTCGATTGTTGATGTCTGACTACACGGTAAAACATTCTATGTGGTATGTCGAGAGCTACGCAAGAAAAAAAGCATGTAGACGTTGGTTCATCTACCCATTCATCAGTCCATCGATCATCCCTGCGTCAGCATAGGGGATGGTCCGGGCAGTGAATGCGAAACCACCCAATTCGCCTTCTGGGCGGGTTCCCACGGGCTTGCAAAGACCTTTCCGTGCGAGACCCGACGAGTGCCAAAAAAGAAAAGCCGCTCGTCTGTGCGTAAACGTTTGACTGATCGTCGCCAAACCCTGGTCTATACTAACGTATAAACCTGGGGACTCATGACCGTTGTTTCT